TCTTTTAATAATATAAACTCTCCAATTCTTGAACATGAGAGACATCTCTTTTTTCTTTGATTTTTTTCATCAACATTTTGAAATTTTCCCTATAGAGGTTATTCATAACTTTAGTTAAATTGATTACTAGCCGGCGCCGTGGCTCAATAGGCTAATCCTCCACCTTGCGGCGCCGGCACACCGGGTTCTAGTCCCGGTCGGGGCACCGGTTCTGTCCCGGTTGCCCCTCTTCCAGGCCAGCTCTCTGCTATGGCCAGGGAGTGCAGTGGAGGATGGCCCAGGTGCTTGGGCCCTGCACCCCATGGGAGACCAGGAAAAGCACCTGGCTCCTGGCTCCTGCCATCGGATCAGCGCGGTGCACCGGCTGCAGCGGCGGCCATTGGAGGGTAAACCAACGGCAAAGGAAGACCTTTCTCTCTGTCTCTCTCTCTCACTGTCCACTCTGCCTGTCAAAAACAAACAAACAAACAAACAAAAAAAAAAAAAACAAAAAAAAATTGATTACTAAACATTTTGTTTTATAGCAGCTATTATGGATGATACTACTTCTATGATTTCTTTATCAACAAGTTTGTTGTTGGCATATAAAATGCTACTACTTTTTGTATCTTGAATTTGTGTCATGTAACTTTATTACATTTTTTTAACTTTTATTTAATGAATATAAATTTCCAAAGTACGACTTACGGATTACAATGGCTTCCCCCCCATAACATCTCTCCCACCCGCATCCCTCCCCTTTCCCACTCCCTCTCCCCTTCCATTCACATGAGGATTCATTTTCGATTCTCTTTATATACAGAAGATCAGTTTAGCATACATTAAGTAAAGATTTCAACAGTTAGCTCCCACACAAACATAAAGTGAAAAATAATAGATGATTTTTTAAATGATGATGAAATCAGATCAGACCTATTGTCATGTTTAATCCCAGCGAGAGTCAAGTTGGGAATTGATAATTTCTTCTTTTTTTTTTTTTATAGAAGATCAGTTTAGTATACATTAAGTAAAGATTTCAACAGTTTGCACCCCCATAGAAACACAAAGCGAAATATACTGTTTGAGTACTCATTATAGCATTAAGTCTCAATGTACAGTACATTAAGGACAGAGATCCTACATGAGGAGTAAGTGCACAGTGACTCCTGTTGTTGACTTTACAAATTGACACTCCTGTTTATGGTATCAGTAATCTCCCTATGCACCAGTCATGAGTTTCCAAGGCTATGGAAGCCTTTTGAGTTCACCGACTCTTACCTTGTTTAGACAAGGTCATATTCAAAGTGGAGGTTCTCTCCTCCCTTCAGAGAAAGGTACCTCCTTCTTTGAAGACCTGTTCTTTCCACTGGGATCTCACTCACAGAGATCTTTCATTTAGGTGTTTTGTTTTTTATTTATTTATTTATTTATTTATTTTTTGCCAGAGTGTCCTGGCTTTCCATGCCTGAAATACTCTCATGGGCTTTTCAGCCAGATCGGAATGCCTTTAGGCCAGAGTGCTGTTTAGGACATCCGCCATTCTATGAGTCTGCTGAGTATCTCGCTTCCCATGTTGGATCACACTCCCCTTTATTTATTCTATCGGTTAGTATTAGCAGGTACTAGACGTGTTTATGTGCTCCCTTTGACTCTTAGTCCTTTCATTATGATCAATTGTGAACTGAAATTGATCACTTGGACTGGTGAGATGGCATTGGTACATGCCACCTTGATGGGATTAAATTGGAGTCCCACTTTATTACATCTTTTATCAAGTCTTATAGTCTCTTTGTAGAGTTTCTAGGTCTTTCTACAGACAGAAACATGCCATCTGCAAACAGGGAAATTTTGAGTTATTTCTTTGCTACTTATACAGTCTTTTAACTCTTTTTTTATTTTTTCCTAATTTCTCTGGCTAAGATTTCCACTACATTTATAAGAGCAATGAGAGTATATATTCTTCTTTTGTGCTAGATAGTTAAAAAAGATACCTTCAATGTTTTCCAATTTAGCATGATATCTATTGTGGTATGTCAAGACTTGTTTAGCATTTATTATATTGATCTATGATCCTCTCATACTTAATTTCTTTGAGATTTGGATAATGAATGGGGTAGAATACTATCAGATGCTTTTTCTGCGTCCATTGAAATGATTATAAAAGATTTTCATCTTTCATTCTTTTATTGTGATGCATTACACTTACTGAATTTAATATGTTGAATAATCTTTGCATTACTTGGAAAAATTTTCCATGATCATGGTGGATGAGAATTTAATGTGCTGTTATACTCTATGTGCTAACATCTTGTTTAGATCTCTACACGTTGGTTTATGGTTTTCTTTTTGGTGGTTGTTTCCCTATCTGGTTTTGGTATTAGGGTAACATTACCTCTTCAGATGGATTTAGGGGGATTCTTGCTTTTTGGAAAAGTTTGAGAAGACGATTCACTAAAATTTTAGTGGAATTCAGCAGCAAAACCATCTAGTCCTAGGTTTTTATTCATTGAGAAATTTCATTTACTGATTCAATTTTATTACTAGTCATTGGTGCACTCCTGTATTCCATTTGTTCATGGTACAATTTTGATATATGTATATTATATGTATATATATCACATATATATGATATATGTATATATGTATATATAATATATAATATTATATATAATATATATAAATAAATGTATTTATCTTAGGTTTTCCATGTTCTATAGTTATTTATGATAGTTCCTAATAATCTTTTGTTTTTCTGTGGTATCAGTTTTACGAGATTCCTTTGTATCTCTGATATTATTTTTTTTGCATTCTTTTTTTTTTCAGAGAAGGGGTTTATTTTAGCACAGTCTGGGGGTCTGTGGAAAAACCGAACAGAAAGAGCACTCCTTGTGTCTCTTCCTCCTCTGTGCCAGAATTGGTCAGTGGGGCAGTCCCGGGGGCACACAGGTCGTCCTGGCACTGGGCGTTCTGTGGGCCCAGACAGAAACCATGCGTGGCCACCCTGTGGCATCACATGCTGCAGTCGCACTCGGCCCTCAGCCCTCGGCCCGCTGCCCCACCCCCTCGGCCTCAGAATCACTGCTTTCTGGGGATGGCAGGCAGCCGGAAGCCCCCGGAGCCATAGGCATTCATGGGGCTGAGCTGTTAACACTCAGGGAGGCCAGGAGACCCCCAGGCTTTAGGAAGACTGGGCATCAACAGCCCACTCCCAGCTGGGGTCTCCAGGGCAGAGCAGGTCACAAGGAGAGGGTCAGGGGAGCCTCACCTGCTCCGGGTTTCCAGGGCCACCCTGGATCAGGCCCTCCCACTGTGGTGGCCGTAGGAGCAGCTGGCCACTGGTCAGCCCTGAGTGGGCGGTGGTCTCGGGCTGTGCTGTGTTGTCCCTCCCTCACCCCAGGCTCTCCTGTGCTTGGCCACTCCATTGAGGGCCCAGGGGTTCTTGGAGGTGGCGTCAGCACTTGGGCTCTCTGTCCCCCAGGCAGGCACAGAGGCGGCCCCCGGCTGGAAGGAAGCTCCAAGCGGCCTGGGCAGGTTGTGCTGTGGAGGGCAAGGACCACGGGGCAGGAGAGACCGCTTCAGAGGAGAGGCAGGCATGGTCATGGAGTGAAGGACTTCTGGCTTGGAGCTGAGCTGGGGGCAGGGCAGGGCTAGGGTTAAGGGGTCACTAGGGGCTTCAAGCCCAGCTGGGAGACCCAAGGCCGGGTAGGGGTCAGAAGTCCAGGGAAAATAAGGCAGAGACAGTGGCAGACCAGGAGGCCCAGAGGATCCTGAGTAGGATCCTTGGGCCAGCCATGGGCATGAAGAACTCCTGAGAGGCTACTCGGGGGCTCCATCAGCCCAGGACGTGGGAGTGGCAGCCACCACCTCCACCTCCCACCAGGCCTGAGCCAGCAGCAGGAGGAGCCACAAGACAGGGCAGCGCCAGGCCTAGGTCATGGTCAAGGGTACCTGTGGGGGCACCAGGGGCTGGGGTCGCCACAGGGGATTCTGTGGCCTTGAGGAGGGCCTGCTGACATGTGCCAGCCTCCGTGTATGTGGGAAGGGGCTTGGAACCCTGCATTTGTTTCCCAGAAAACAAGACAGTGCAACAGGCCCAGAGGAAGCCAAGAATATTCCTCAGTCCCCTGATGGCCAGGTCTCTGCTCCCCCGCTGTAGCCAAGTTCCTGGGCCTTCCAGGAGGGGTTGGCTGGGCTCAGCCAGGCATGTCCTAGGCCCTCATCTCCCCATCTCTGTCTCTGCCAAGGCCACTGATTTCACAGCTTACTCAGGGTCCATCCAGACCTGTAAACCCTCACCCCATCCAGGCCCCATGGGAGCAGTCCCGAGGTCTCAGGGCTGCATTCGTTCCCCTGCCCCCTGCCCTTGCTGTCCCTGGGCCCTGACCAAGAGGAGCTGGGGTGGGGGCTGCACTCGTCTCTGATTTCCTCCAGCAGGGCCCAGGGTGAGGCCATGCCCAGCCAGCTGTCTGGTCTCCTGGTTTGAGACCAAAGGCCTCTGGGCAGCCGAGCACCTGCCCCACATGTGGCCAGGTGATGGACGCCGCCTCCAGGGCAGGGCCTGGAAAGAGTGGGGACCATAGCAGAGGCAGCCGCTCCCTCCTCAACACACCCCAGCCTCAGCTACACTGAGTCAGCCCTGGACCCTGGCCATGCTGGCCACCAACCTGGCCGTAGCACGAGCCACCATGCTCTGTGACTCACATGGCTTCCCGCCTCCACCTCGACTTCCAGCATCCAGAAAGAGCTCCCTAAAGCAGGTGTCAGACACCACCACCACCCCAACTAGCAGCTCTCGACAGCCGCCCCCTCACCTGGTCACCAGACCCCAGGAACGGCCCTCCCAGCCCAGCTCCTCCATACCCACCTCAGTCTGCTGGGAGTCGCATCCCCCCACCCCCTCCCCCATCCTGGCCTCCCCCTCAGCACTTGGCATCTGACCCGTGAAGGCAGGGGTTGTGATGGCCTTGGTGACTGACCCCAGGGGGCTCCAGGAAAGGACGGACGAATGATCAAATGAAGGAATGAAGGGACCCATACCCAGCCGCTTCCTCCCCGTCCTGCTGGGGAGCCCTCGCCTGGGTCTTGTCCTCTCTCTCCCGCTGGCAGGCCCCATTCATGGGTTGGATGAGGCTCAGAGAAGGTGTCAGAGTGGGTGAGGAAGGCGGGGGTGCAGCCTGGCACCGAGCAGGCCCAGACCCCACCCCATGCTGCAGGGTTCATCTCCACCAGGCCCACAGTCCCAGAGACCCCATACCCGCACTAGCCTGCATTCTTCCTTTTTTGTCTTGGTCATTCCAGCCACAAGTTTGTTGTGTTTCTTGATATTTTCAAGAAAACAATTCTTCATTTCACTGGACATTTGTATTTTTTAGACTATTTCATTTGTTATTTTTCTATCATGGATATTTCTATTCTTTTACTAATTTTGGTTTTGTTCTTTTCAGGATTTTTGAGATGCTTTGTTAGGTTGTTTATTTGAAAATTTTGCCTTTAAAAATCTAGTTGCTTCTTATGATACATTTGTTATTATTGCTTTTGCTGTGTTCCTAAGATTTGAGATTTTGTGCCTCCACTATTGTTTGTTTCAAGATAGTTTTAGACTTAACTTCTGATTTCTTCAATGATCTGTTGTTCATTTCACAGTGTGTTGGTTACGGGCCATGTTTTTGTGTAATTATCCAAACAGAAGAATCTTATTCCTTTGTGGTCAGACATGAATCACTGTTGCTGCTCTGCCACCGTCCCCATGGTCTGCGCTTCTTTCTGGCTCTCGCAGCAGAAGCCACCACCGCCGCCCTGGAATCACACTGGCTTCACTTCCTCCCCCTCTTCTTCTTCTTCTTGCTGAGCCACTTGCTTCCTAGCACTCTGACCTTTGTCTCTGTCCAGCAGCGGGAGCCCTTCATCCCGGGTGGCCTGGTTGCGCCGCTTGGCTTTTCTGCTAGCGGTTACTCCAGGACCCTCCTGATGGTGACCACAGCTCCGCCGCCTTTACCCTGGATCCCGGACTCCCGGGTGCTGTCCCCGACCCTCTTCCTCCCTCACTTCCTAGGGAGAGACAGCTCCTGTGTGATCCCCAAACCTCGCGCTCCAGTAGCTCTGCCTAACTGCAGCCCTGCGATGGGGGAGGCACCTTCACCCCATGATGGGGGAGGCACCCTTCAGGCAGTGCAGAAGAAGTGGTGAAACAAGGTATGGGTCAGCCTGGCTGGTCAGCTGTCTGGCCGCTTCCACCAGTATCGCAGCACCGACAGAGGCTAGAGGGTGGCCCAGCTGGGTGGCAGAACAGAGCAGGGGACAGGAGGTCCCAGGCCAGGCCACTGTCTTGTGCCTGACTCCTGGGACGGCAAGCCAACTGAGAGAGTGAACCTGGTCCCTGGGCCACTGTGACCCACAGCACCTGGCCAACTGCCGCTCAGAAAAGAGGTTTTAAAATCAAAGATGGGGCCGGCGCTGCGGCTCAATAGGCTAATCCTCCACCTTGTGGCGCTGGCACACTGGGTTCTAGTCCCTGTCGGGGTGCCGGATTCTGTCCCGGTTGCCCCTCTTCCAGGCCAGCTCTCTGCTGCCCAGGGAGTGCAGTGGAGGAAGGCCCAAGTGCTTGGGCCCTGCACCCCATGGGAGACCAGGAATAGTACCTGGCTCCTGCCATCGGATCAGCACAGTGCACCGGCCGCAGCGCGCCGGCCTTGGCAGCCATTGGAGGGTGAACCAACGGCAAAGGAAGACCTTTCTCTCTGTCTCTCTCTCTCACTGTCCACTCTGCCTGTCAAAAAAAAAATCAAAGATGGGAAAATCAGAGAAAGTTACCCTTTCCCACTGCCAGCTTGTTAATGGTATACACGTGAGTGAACAACCAAAAATAAACAGAAAAGCAAACCTAAGTTGCCAGTAACCAAGATCACTCCTACAAAAAAAGAAATGAAAGTAACTTACAGCAGGACTCTGTTTCATCTGATAGAATTCAGAAGCAGGAAAAAAAGCCTTTTAAAAATACAGAGAATATTAAAAACATGCATTTGAAGAAATCAGCACTTCTAACTGAAGTGAGCCAAAAAGTAGAATTATGCTGGCATGAAATTTAGTAACCCACCATCTCCTACTGTTCTTCCAGAGCCTCCTAGTCACTGGATGGGAAGCTCTGTTGAAAATTCCAACCAAAATGGGGAGCTGATGGCTGTGCACTTGAAAACACTGCTGAAATTCAAACTGAAGATTTCAGATTTCAATATATATGTAAAACATAGTTTTTCCCAACGCCCTGGACTCTTGGAAGTTGGTGCAGATCTGGAAAGCTGCCTTGTTGCAGTGTAAGAGTACAAAAGATGAGTTTAAAAAGCTATATATAAACAGCTTGCATTATATTTTGTATTTTGTAAATACTGTATACCATATATTATGTATATATTATTCATACTTGAGAAGTACATTATAGTTCTGTTATGAAAGTATGTATTTTGCCCTGCCCACATGGCAGGTCATTGTGTATATATATGCACATATATAATATTATATGTTATAATATATATTTTCTATAGATAATGGAAAAATTTTAAGGGTGCTAAAGCACATGGAAGACCAGTTTATTTGCCCAGGGTACTGAGAGTTTACCAAGAAGCAGCTGTCAGATCTCAAGGTGAAGATCTAAACGTGAATAGTTTACCAATGCACTACTGAAGATTAAGTCTGTGGCACAATCATTGTAAACAATGGAGTCTGTCTTTATTTAAATTGATTTCAACCTTCCAATCTATAATTACTGGAAAAACTCCTCTCCCTATTTCTACCAAACTTAATTTCTTGTTTTTGGTACATATGCATTATTCAAATTTAAGATGCCTCTAATTTTAATGCCAACAAAATTGGTCATAATTAAAAATTTTTTTTTATTTTTTGACAGGCAGAGTGGACAGTGAGAGAGAGAGACAGAGAGAAAGGTCTTCCTTTGCCGTTGGTTCACCCTCCAATGGCTGCCAAGGCCGGCGTGCTGCGGCTGGCGCACCGCGCTGATCTGATGGCAGGAGCCAGGTACTTATCCTGGTCTCCCATGGGGTGCAGAGCCCAAGCACTTGGGCCATCCTCCACTGCACTCCCTGGCCACAGCAGAGAGCTGGCCTGGAAGAGGGGCAACCGGGACAGAATCCGGCGCCCCGACCGGGACTAGAACCCGGTGTGCCGGTGCCACAAGGTGGAGGATTAGCCTAGTGAGCCACGGCGCTGGCCATATAATTAAATTTTAAAGCAATAATAATTTGCCTTTCCCCCTTTAAACTAGTCTTGACTTTTTGTGTCTGACTGTTCTGTGTGTGACCATGAGATGATTTTGCACGACTGCATTTTTAACTTCCCATTTGATGGCTCTGTCTTTGACCTTGTACTAATGATCCTTCCTCTACAAAATTTAGAGCAACAATTTAATATTTCTACATCTCCGAGGAGGAATTGCCCATCTCACAAGTGGAAATGGTAGGCCGGCGCCGCGGCTCACTAGGCTAATCCTCCGCCTTGCGGCGCCGGCACACAGCGTTCTAGTCCCGGTCGGGGCGCCGGATTCTGTCCTGGTTGCCCCTCTTCCAGGCCAGCTCTCTGCTGTGGCCAGGGAGTACAGTGGAGGATGGCCCAAGTGCTTGGGCCCTGCACCCCATGGGAGACCAGGAGAAGCACCTGGCTCCTGCCATCGGATCAGCGCGGTGCGCCGGCCGCAGTGCACCGGCAGCGGCGGCCATTGGAGGGTGAACCAACGGCAAAGGAAGACCTTTCTCTCTGTCTCTCTCTCTCACTGTCCACTCTGCCTGTCAAAAAAAAAAAAAAAAACAAAAAAAACAAAAAAAAAAAACAAGTGGAAATGGTAGTGTAAAGAAAAACTGGTTAGTTTATGACTGAGTATATTTTTATATGTAAACTTTTTCATGAAGTATTATTTGAATTAATAATTCATGCAGTTTTCAGTAGAAGGCAATGATACCTACTTTGTTTTATTACATTAATCTTGAATGGTGGTACTTACACTAAAAAAAGTATAGCTGATGCCGAAACAGTGGGTGGAGATTTTAGAGGCTTGCTTGAAGATCAGCATGGCAGTTCAAACTTCATTCTCAATATGTTTCCAACTCAGAAATTCTAAAATATACTTTCTATAAGGTTTCACTTATGCAAACCAAAAGTTTGTCTCAAAGGAGAAAACCTTTCTGAGTAATTGGGCAATATTTAGATATTAAAAGAAAAAAAATTCTTAAATGGGTACATACTTGCACATGATTCTTCAGGTCAAATTCATGAGAAAGGTGCTACTGGAGGTATTTTAGGTCTTAACTGGCTCCCACAAGGAGAGTGAAGACTTTTAACTTTTTGTGTGGTAGGCAGTATGGGCAGAAAGTTAGAATTGCTATTAACTTGATGAGCAGTGCCAAGAGGGTAGGATGACTTACATTATGTAGATGTACCACAAATTTGTGTAAGCAGTGCATGCTATCTTGTATTCATAGCTCAAGCCTGAAAACCAGTTCTTTGTCCCTGGGTATAACATGCTTGTTCTTATAGAGAGAAATTAAGCTGTACTTTAATATTATATATTAAATGATTAAGAGGTTATATTCCAGTATGACAGTATCCACATCCAAGAATGTCTTACTTGTAGGAGTCATGCTGCTTTCAAGTGTGCACATGGTGATTCTTTTGTGCAGACTTCAGAGGAGGTCCCAGCACCTGGGCAGCATGAGTCTCCTCTGCCCAACAGCCTTCCCAGAGTAAAAGGCCACCCAGACCATCCTGCTGCTGGTGAGTGCCTTTGTGGTCACCTACCACCTTAACCTCATCATCCTGTCTATCTCAGTCCATGTGTGGTGGACATACAACAAAGTCTGAGTATCTGGAAGTTAGTATTTAATGCTTGTGCTACAGTTAGTCCTGTGGTGCTGCTCAGTTCTGATAAAAGAATAATCAGTATTCTGAAAAGCACACAATGTAAGAGCCATTAATGTTTACTAATATTGTGATGGGATATTTTTCTTGAAAATATGTTCTAATGCAGTTAAATTATTCAGTAGCATAAGATTATTTTTTTATTTCTGTAAGAGGAACATTTCATTATTTCATATGTACAGTTTTAAGAGTAAAATGATACTTTATCAGATTAAAATAAAGTGCAATTATTTGATAATTCTTTACTTCAATGTAAATCATAGTTTGATGCATATCATGTATCATCTTATTTCATTTTCTTTACTGTAGAAAAACATTTATTCTTGACATGTAGGTTTAGAAAGCTCCTGTTGGTAATCAAATCTCTGTGTTTATTTTTGATTATGTTTTATTCATCTTGGTCCATTAACTAGATTTTACCTAAGGATCCAACTCTAGCTCAGATAATTGCTTTTGGCATGATTGATTTTATGTCTGTTTTACAGCACCATACCAGTTGTTAAAAGGACTATTTTAGTCACCTCTGTGAATGATCTCTGTTTTCCTCTTACTGTTTCTAATTTTTTTCTCCCCTGATGTTATGAAGTCTGATTATGTATACTTTTGTGTCTTTTTGACACACTGCATTTGTAATTCAAGAGTTTGTAAGCATAGAGTCTTTTAAATCATCCAGGTTTGATAATTGCCTTTGTGTGTTTTTCTTTTTTTTTTCAATATTTATCACATAATATTCTTTTTTTTAATTTTTTATTTAATGAGCATAAATTTCCAAAGCACAGCTTAAGGATCACAATAGCCTCCTCCCCACCGTATCTTCCCTCCCACCCACAACGCTCCCCTCTCCCACTCCCTCTCCCCTTCCCCTTCACATCATGATTAATTTTCAATTATCTTTATATACAGAAGATCAATTTAGCGTATGTTAAGTAAAGATTTCCACATTTTGCTCCCACACAGAAACACAAAGTGTAAAATACTATTTGAGTACTAGTTATAGCATTAATTAAACACCTAAGAGTAATTGTGTATTAATTACAGAGTTCAACCAATAGTTTTAAGTAGAATATAAAATGCATCTTTTGTATTGTTGTGGCTTCCCCCCTGACCTCCCTCCCTCCCGTGGCCCTCCCCTCACCCACTCCCTCTCCCATCCCGCCCTTCATCACATTTCATTTTCAATTACCTTCATATGTTGAAGATCAACTTAGTATATACTAAGCAGGGATTTCAACAGGTTGCACTCACACAACCGAACCAGGTATAGGGTATTGTTCGACTAGTAGTGTTGTGTTTGAGTTTCATAGTTAAACATATTAAGGACAGAGATCCTGTGTGGGGAACATGAACCCAGTGACTCCCGTTGTTGATTTAACAATTGGCACTCTTATTTATGATGTCAGCAATCACCTGAGACTCTTGCTATGAGCTGTCTAGGCTATGGAAGCCCCTTGAGTTCAGCAACTCTGAATTTGTTTAGTCAAGGCCATATCACAGTGGAGGTTCCTTCCTCCCTTCAGAGAAAGGCGCCTCTCTCCTTGATGGCCTGATCCTTCTGCTGGGGTGTTGTTCACCAGGATCCTTCATTTAGATTGTTTTTTGCCACCATGTCATGGCTTTCCATGCCCTCACCATGACTGCAGGGGCTGGGGACCCAGGCAGGGGGCTGGGTCAGGTCTGCCCAGGGCGGATCCCTCGTTATGCCTGGGGTTCCTCGCCATGCTTGTAGGTGCTGGGTCCTGGACACGGGGCGGGTTCCATGTGGGGTGCCCAGGGAGGGCTCTCACAGGGCCTGCAGGGGCTGTGGATCCCGGCGGGGTTGCGTCTGGGGTGTGGGGCCCAAGCTGTGACTTAGGGGCTAGGGACTTGGGCGGGCGGGGCGGGGTCCCATCTGGGGTGCCCAAGGAGGGCTCTTTCTGTGCCTGCACAGGCTGGGAATCTGGGTGGGAGGCGTGGTCATGTCTGGAATGCCCTGGGCGCATCCCTCGCTGTGCCTGAGGGTCCCTCACCATGCCTGTAGGGCCTGGGGACCTGGGTAAGAAGCGGGATCCCGTCTAGGGTGGCCAGGGCAGTATTCTCACCATTCTTTCAGGGGCTTGGCACCCGGGTGGTGGGGAGGTAGTGTCTGGGGTGACCAGTACTGGGCCTTCAGCCTGCCTGTAGGGGTCAGGACCCGCATAGGAGGTGGGGTCCCATCTGTCGTGGCCAAGGTAGGGCTGTCGCCATTCCTGCAGGGGCTTGGCACTCGGGCGGAGGAGGTAGCGAGTGTCTGGGGTGCCCAGGGAGGGGCTCTCGCATGCCTGCAGGGGCTGGAGATCCGGGCGGGGGGGAAATAGCCTCTGGAATGCCCAGGGTGGGGCCCTTGCTATACCTGAGAGTCCTGGCCAAGCCTGTAGGGACTGGGGTCCTGGGAACGGGGCGGGGTTGCGTCTGGGTGCCCACGGTGGGGCCTTCGCCCTGCCTGCAGGTGTGGGGACCCGGGTAGGAGGCGGGGTCCCTTCAGGGGTGGCTAGGGTGGGGTCTCTGCATTCCTGCAGGGACTTGGGACCCAGGCAAGTGGTGTTCGAGTCTGGGGTACTCGGGACGGGTTTTGCCTTGCCTGCAGGGTGGGGGATCCGTACGGGGGACGTGGTTGCGTGTGAGGTGCCCAGGGCAGGGCTATCACAGTGCCTGAGCATCCCTTGCTGTGCCTATAGGGGCTGGGACCCCGGGGGGGTGCGTGGTCACATCTTGGGTGCCCAGGCGGGGACCCAGCTGCTCCCGCCCTTGCTTTACCCGTGGGGCCCTCGCCCTGCCTCCTGCAGCGGTGGCCCGGGCAGGTGGCAGGGTCACCTCCGGGGTGCCCAGGGCGGGGCTCTCCCTGTACCTGTATTGGCTGGAATTAGATCAGGGGCGTGGTCGGATCTGGGGTGCTTCAGGGTAGGGCCCTTGCTACAACTGCCCTCACTGTGCCTGCAGAGCCCTCCGACTGCCTGCAGGGGTGGAGAACGGGGTAGGGTGTGGGTCGCTACTGGGGTGCCCAGAGCGGGAATTTCGCTGTGCCTGCAGGGGCTCGGATGCGGGTAGGGGGCGTGGTTGCATCTGGTTGCATCTGGGTTGCTCAGGACGGGGCCCTCGCTGTGGCTGCAGGCCCTCCTGTGCTGCAAAGGCTGTAGCTCCGGGAGGGGGACACGGCCTCGTCTGGGGTGCCAGCAGGGGCTTGTGAACCAGGCAGGTGGTGGGGTCCCAACTGTGGTGCCCACTGCAGGGCACTTACAGTGCTTGCGAGGCCTGGAGCCCCAGGCGCGGGGGAGCCGGGTTGCATCTGGGGTGCCCAGGCGGGGTTCTCGCCCTGCCTGCAGCAGCTGGGGACCAGGGCAAGGGACAGGGTCACATCTAGGGTGCCCGGGGCAGGGAGCTCGCTTTGCCTCAGGGACTGGGGCGGGGTCGTGTCTTGGATTCCCAAGGTCGGTCCCTCCCTGTGCCTTAGGGCCTGGGGACCCCGGCGGACGGGGCGGGGTCCCCTCTGGGGTGCCCAGGGCAGGCCTCTCAGTCAACATGCTGGTGCTTGGGATGCAGGTGTGTGCTGGGGCCGAGTGTAGGGTGAACAGCGCGGTGCTCTCGCTGTGCCTGCAGGGGCTGGAGATCCGGACTGGGGGTAGGTATCATCTGGGGTCCCAGGGCCGGGACTCTACTGAGCCTGCCCTTGCTTTGCCTGCGGGGCCCTCGCCCTGCCTGCAGGTGTGGGGGCCCGGGCAGGGGGTGGGGTCACGTCTGGGGTGCCCAGGGCAGGCCTCTCGGGCCAGTGTGCTAGGGCTTGGGACCCAGGTGGGTGCTGGGGCCGAGTGTAGGGTGCCCAGGGCGGGGCTCTCACAGTGCCTGCAGGGGCTGGGGATCCGGGAGGTGGGCGTGGTCGTGTCTGAGGTGCCCAGGGCAGGGCCCTGGCTGTGCCTCAGGGGCTGGGGACCTGGGCGGGCGGGCAGGGTGGGGTCACGTCTTGGGTGCCCAGGGCCGGGACCCCACTGTGCCCGCCCTCACTGTGCCTGCGGGGCCCTCGCCCTGCCTACAGCAGTGGGGGCCCAAGCAGGGGGCGGGGTCACGTCTGGGTAGCCCAGGGCAGGCCTCTAGGCCAGCATGCTGGGGCTTGGGATCCAGGTGGGTGCTGGGGCCGAGTTTAGCGTGTCCAGGGCGGGGCTCTTTCCATGCCTGCAGGGGTTTGTGCTCGGGCGGGGGTGGGTCGCCTCTGGGGTGCCTGCAGGTCCTGGGGCCCCGGGTGGGGGAGGGCGGTGCAGCGCCTGGGATGCCCAGGGCGTGGCTATTGGCACGCCTGCCCTCCCTGTACCCGCGGGGTCCTCAGAGTTCCTGCAGGGGCTCTGGACCTAGGCGGGGTGGGGTCGCCTTTGGGGTGCCCAGAACAGGGCCCTCTCTGAGCCTGTAGTGCTGGGAACCCGGGCTGGGGGCGGGGTCCCGTCTGGGGTGCCCAGGGAGGGCTCTCATCGTGCCTGCGGGGGTTGGGGATCCAGGCGGGAGGAGGAGGCGACTTGGGTCCCCATGTGCCGCAGGGGCTGGGGACCCGGGCAGACAGGGCGGGGTCCCGTCTGGGGTGCCCAGGGAGGGCTCTCACTGTGCCTGCAGGGGCTGGGGACCCGGGCGGGTGGGGCGGGGTCCCGTCTGGGGTGCCCAGGGCAGGAGTCTCGCTGTGTCTGCAGGGGCTTGGGATCCGGGCGGGGTCGCGTCTTGGGTGGCCAGGGCGGGGCTCTCGCCTGGTCTGCAGGGGTTTGGGACCCAGGCGGGGGTGTGTTGTTCCTGGGGTGCCCAGGGCGGAGCTCTCCCCATGCCTGCAGGGACTGGGATCTGGGCGGGGGGCGTGGTCGCGTCTGGCGTTCCCGGGGAGGGCCCTTGCTGTGCCTGAGGGTCCTCGCCATGCCTGTAGGGGCTAGGGTCCTGGGCAGGGGGCGGGGTTGTGTCTGGGTGCCTAGAGCGGGGCCTTCGCCCTGCCTGCAGGTGTGGGGACGCAGGTAGGAGGCGGGGTCCCTTCAGGGGTGGCCAGGGCGGGGCTCTCGCCATTCCTGCAGGGACTTGGGACCCAGGTGAGTGGTGGTCGAGTCTGGGGTGCTCAGGACGGGTTTCGCCTTGCCTGCAGGGGTGGGGGATCTGGGCGGGATACATGGTCGCATGTGAGGTGCCTAGGGCGGGGCCCTCCCAGTGCCTGAGCGTCCCTTGCTGTACCTGCCGGGCCGGGGGCGGGTTCGCGTCCGGGGTGCCCAGGGCGGGTCCCTCGCCATGCTTGCAGGGGCTTTTGACCCGGGAGGTAGGTGGGCCCTTGCTGCAACTGCCCTCACTGTGCCTGCGGAGCCCTCCCAGGATACCCGGGTAGGGTGCGGGTCGCCTCTGGGTTGCCCAGAGCGGGAATCTCCCGGTGCCTGCAGGGGCTGGGATGCGGGTGGGGAGCGTGGTTGCATCTGGGTTGCCCAGGGCGGGGCCCTCGCTGTGGCTGCGGGCCTTCACTGTGCTGCAGGGGCTGGGGCCCCCGGCAGGGGCATGGCTTCGTCTGGGATGCCAGCAGGGGCTTGTTACCCGGGCAGGTGGCGGGGTACCCACTGTGGTGGCCATTGCAGGGCACTTAGAGGGCTTGCAAGGCCTGGGGCCCCAGGCGCGGGGGAGCCGGGTTGCATCTGGGGTGCCCAGGGTGGGGCCCTCGCCCTGCCTGCTGAAGCTGGGGAGCCGGGCAAGGGGCAGGGTCACGCCTAGGGTGCCCGGGACAGGGCCCTGGCTTTGACTTAGTTGGGGAGCTGGTAAAGCAGTTGAACCCAACTAACTGAATGTTGATGGTGTAAAATATGGCATAAGGTGGCTGCCGCCATGGCTCACTAGGTTAATCCTCTGCCTTGCGGCGCCGGCACACCGGGTTCTAGTCCTGGTCGGGTCGCTGCATTTTGTCCCAGCTCTCCGCTATGGCCCAGGAGTGTAGTGGAGGATTACCCAAGTCCTTGGGCCCTGCACCCCATGGGAGACCAGGAGAAACACCTGGCTCCTGCCATTGGATCAGCACGGTGTGCCGGCAGCAGCGCACCGGCCGCGGTGGCCATTGGAGGGTGAACCAACTGCAAAGGAAGACCTTTCTCTCTCTCTCTCTCTCTCTCTCTCTCACTGTCCACTCTGCCTGTCAAAAAAAAAAATATGGTATAAGGTATTACCTTGATATCTTGCTGGTGAAAAAAGAGAATACATTGTAAAATTCTAGATTTTTGTTTTACACTTAGAAATGAGAAATAATGACAGCTGAGGCAACTGGAAAAGTTTTAATAATGATTGCATTCTTTTTAAATGAAATTCCCTTTAATTGTGTAATCTTAAACCTGAGAGGTGAAGGGAAGCTCTCCTCTGGCCCCAAAGCTGCCTCAGACTTTCCTCTCCACTCCCGGCCTGCCTCACTTCCTTCCCGCTCACACAGGCTCCACAGCGGCCTCGAGGTCTTGCAGCAGGATGTCATAGAAACTGCTTCATACTTGTGGAGAAATAAACACAATTCTGCTGTGAGAATACGACACTCAGGAGGAGGGAGCGTGTGGAGCTCTTTGGAATCACAGTGCTCTGCCTGAGGAACGGGGTGTCTGTCCCTGGCGGTGGGTGAGTGTAGCAAATACCTCTAGACCTCTCCCGAGCAGCTGTTCCTCCTCTCCCTTGTGTGGTTGGCTGGATAGCTGAAGGGGGGGGGGGGACTGCTGCCTCAGTGTCAATGTTGGAGCTGACTGAAAGACCCCATGGCTGAGCACCCGGGGGTGTGTTGATGGCATCATTTGAGGTGTGACCCTGGGACTTGATGGACATTTGGGTGTCATGCAGCCGAGGAGAATGCGCCGATTTCCCTGTGTCTCCTGCTTCCAGAGCCATGAAATCAAGGCTGCTTTGCACCAAGTGCCGGGAGAGCCGTCTTCTCATCCCCATCAGACACAGACGTTTCTGTTGAGGAGAAGCATCTGCTCTTCATGTCAGTTCCGCACCTGGACCAGGCCTCAGCCCTGTTTTCTTCAGGACCTCTCAGGTTGATGGGTGAGGAGACCCGTGGGAGGAGGACTTAGAAGTCCGGAGGCTGAGTGCCTTCTAGTTGTGCACAGAAACACCCTGTACGTGTCTTCCTTAATTGCAGAGTGTTCCTGATGTCATGGGCACGTAGGAACCAGAGAGGAACCTCTGCCCTGGACCTCTCTCTGCTGGATCTCAGCTGCCTCATGTTTCCTGGTGCTGTTTTTTTTTTTTCTTTAAGAGTTTATTCAAGTCAGAGGTATCTGCATTTATAGCTTCTTCCTGATAATTCTTTCCTCTCCTGATGGAGTTTCATTTCTCCTGTGTTTCAGGAAATGCCTGGGGTGGGGTGGTGTCCCCCATTGGATTCTAGTCTGAGGGAGTCTTCCATGGTGAGTCACGTGCTGCTTTGCTCATTAGAAGAATCCTAAGTAAGATGGGAAAAGACTCTTTTTGTTGGAGAGAGAAAATGAAAACCAGCTTTTCTGAGGCCAGAGGGGCTCATGTTGTAATAAACGATGAATTCATCCTTTTTTTCTGCCATCCCTCCCAGTGGCAGTTGATCTCATGACAGCTGTTTCCAGCTGTACTCTGGATTTTGTGCAGGCCCCTTGGGATGGCTGTAGTGACTCACACAGCTGGGCTTTTTCCACAACGGGCTGAACCTGGCTGCTAGAGGAGCAGGGGCTAGAGGCAGGGAAGGTGACTCTGGTGGCTGGAGGAGATTTCCTTGTTGGGATCGCTGTCCCTGCAGGGCCCTCCTGTCCACAGAGATCCTGGGAGATAACGTCTGGGGCAGGGTAGAGAATGTGTTCATAGAGAACGTGTGTTGGAGAAAGCCAAATGTTCTTTTTTTTTTTTCTTTTTTCCCTGCCCCTTTCCTTTTCAGATGGAAGTAGATCTGTGTGTGAAATGGATACATGAGTGAGTGTTGAGGGAGACGTTGGTTAACAGATGGACATTGCAGCCATCCGGCGCAGTGGGATGCCTGCATCCCACACTGGAGTTTCTGGTTTGAGTTCAGGCTCCTCTTCTTCTGACCCAGCTTCCTGTGAATGCGCTCCATGGGTGGCTGACACTCATGCAGAGACCGGGTTTGAGCTTTGGGCTTCTAGCTTTGGCCGAGCACCGCCTTGGCTGAGTCACACCCGGAGCAGAAGAAGCTGACTGAAGTGGGCCTGGGGCATCAGAATGACGCTGGATGCGGCAGGGTGCAGATGTGTCCCGTGGCGCCATGGCGACGGCCAGTGGGGACTGCGCCTGCGTCCTGCACTTTGACCCGGAAGTGCACACGCACGCATGCATACCCCGACTGCCCGCCAGCGCTCTTGTAGGAGTCAGCACCGCGTCCGCTGCTGCCCAAGAGCCTGCACAAGCTGTGAGGAGCCGTGCTCGACGCTGCTGGCCAAGACTGAGGGAGACCCAGCGGCCCCAAGGTCAGGCCAGGATCAGGAGAGGCTGCATGTCTGAGGCTGCAGCACTATTTCCCAGGCGCGGTTGTCTTCTTCAGCCCCTTCCGGAAGCAACGGCCTTGGCAGACCTCTATGCCGCCAGCAGACCGGGCCCCCTTGGAGGTGAGTGACGCGTGGCTGTTGCGGCTTCCCGCTGGGGTATTGGGTGCCGGCGTGCCTGTTGCTCTTGGTCCCGAAGGCTCCGGTGGAGTCGCAGTTGTGCTGTACAGACGGTCTGGAAGGGTCCCCAGGGTACGAGCAGCTGTGTGAGAGCAGAGGTGGCTCCATCTCCTCCCGGAACTGCCCCACGTTCCCGTCTGTTTGCTTTTTGAGGGCCCAGCCGCCCTGTTCTAGACCTCTGAGAGTCTTGTTGGGAGGAACGAGAGTGAGAATGTGTGTTTGTGTCCTGGTCTAGGAGGACAGTTTCCGGTTACTCGCGTTTGGTGTGCTGTTAGTACTCCGTGGGTTTTTTATGAAAGACCGTTGTCAGGCCCAGGTGTACCATCTGTTCTTAATTTGATGATTTTATTTTTTTAATACCGCAAAAGTAATGAAGGTTTTGTGAAATAGGTTTTCTGTGTCTATCGGGATACTTTGTGGCTTTTCCCATGTGGATTCTGTTCTGGGATATATTGCTTTGGTATGGTAGCCATCCTTGCATTCCCGGAGTAACTCTCAGTTGCACACAGTGTGCTAAGCTTTGTTTGTGCTCCCGGATGGCATTTGGTAATATTTTATTGAGGCATGTGACACATTCATGACGGATATTTGTGTGCCATTTTCTTTATGATGTGTGCTTGTTTTGGATGTTGGGATAACGCTAGTCTGATGGAATAAAAAGGAAAGTTTTTCCTCTTCATCTCCTTTTTGGAAGGGTGTGCAAAGAACGGATTTTAATTATCCTTTAAATGGGAGTTTTCACCAGTGGAGCCGTCTGTTCCTGGAGTTTTCTTCATGTGTGTTTGTTTCCCACTACTGCAGTCTCTTTTCAAATTATGAGTGTATTTAGGGTTTCTTGTTTTACTGTATTCAGTTTTAGTGGTTTGTGTCTTTCTGAGAATCAGTCCACACTGTATCGACATTGACCAAATCCTTGTGCCTTGGCTTTTCCATAGTGTTTTCTGATTATTATTTTGGTAAGGTAGGTAATAGTGTCTTCTCTGTCGTTTCTGTTGTGAAGTCAGTTGAGTCTGTTCCCTTTTTTCCCTTTTTTCCTGCGGATAAACATTTTGTCCATGTCACTGAGTGTTCAAGAATAATATTTTGGTCTCACTGAATTTCTGTTGTGATATTTTCTATTCCGTTGGATTTATATCAGTTTGTATATTTTTCCTCCTTCCACTTTCTTAAGATTTACTTTTCTGTTCTAGCGTTTTAAGGTACAATCCCCACCTTGGGAGACCCAGAAAAATTACTGGCTCCTGGCTTTGGATTGCCCCAGCTCCAGCCATTGTGTCAATTTTGGGAGGTGTACTAGTGGATGGAAGACCCCCCTCTCTCTCTGCTTCTATATCTCTGCAACTCTGCCTTTCAAATAAATGCATAAATCTTGTAAAAGAAAAGATTGACAGTAGTTTTATCATTAGAAACAACATATGCTACAAGAGAATGGAGAAACTCTTTGAAGTACTGAAAGATAAAGAGTGTCAGCATAGAATTCTTTGCACAGTGAACGTATGTTTCCAGTGTGAGAGTGAAATAAAGATTCTAGACATAGGATCACAGAAATAATTCATCACCAGCAGATCCACACTACCAGAAATATTAGAAAAAGTCCTTTAGGGAGAAAGACAATGTTACTAAGTGGGTATTTGAATCAACACAAAAGATGAAAACATGAGAATTGAAAGCTACATGGTTAAATGTATACAGATTTTTTTTTTGGACAGGCAGAGTGGACAGTGAGAGAGAGAGACAGAGAGAAAGGTCTTCCTTTGCCATTGGTTCACCCTCCAATGGCCGCCGCGGCCGGCGCGCTGTGGCCGGCGCACCGTGCTGATCCGATGGCAGGAGCCAGGAGCCAGGTGCTTTTCCTGGTCTCCCCTGGGGTGCAGGGCCCAAGCACCTGGGCCATCCTCCACTGCACTCCCTGGCCACAGCAGAGAGCTGGCCTGGAAGAGGGGCAACCGGGACAGAATTCGGCGCCCCAACCGGGACTAGAACCCGGTGTGCCGGCGCCGCTAGGTGGAGGATTAGCCTAGTGAGCCGCGGCACTGGCCATGTATACAGATTTTTAAACTGTTTAGTCACTTTAAAAGATAAATGAGTTTTTTACAGCAAAAATACTAAACATGTAGCATACAGTTTATAGCTTTTTAAAGTTAAATGTGTGGCAACTGTAGTACAACTGTAGGGAGAGTGAAATGGAAATACACCATTTGGCATGGTGCAATATCACTTGAAGATAAATGTGATAAATTTAAAATATATACAATGAAACCTAAAAAAGTCACTAAAGGTAAATAAATGGGGGTATAATTAACCCGTAAAAGAAATAAAATGGAATCATGGAAAAGAAACTGATCCAAAAGTAGGCAGATAAAGAGGAAAAACAGAACATAGAACAGATAGAAAACACCTAACTAGGAGATTAATTTAAGCTTAGCTATTTCATTAATTACATTAAATGTAAATGGTATAAGGAACTCAATTACAAGGCAGAGAGATTATAACATTGAATCAAAAAACAAGACCCAAGTATAGGCTCCCTAAGTGAAATTCAGTTTGAATATAATAGCTTGAAAATTGAAATATGGAGAAAGAAATACACATTAGTCATCTACAAAACTGGACTACCTACATTAGCAACGCAGATCATGGAGTACTTTTAGGATCATGGGATATTTTCAATGATAAAGAAAGTCAATTCATGATGATAAATGCTTTGATCCATCAGTAAGACATCAATCTAAGTATTTATAGACCTAGTAACACAGCTTCAAGATGCTGAAGCAAAAGTTGATAGAACTGCAAGGTTTATCTGAAAAAAAATCCATAACTGGAATGGGAGATTTCATTATTCTTATCTCAGTAATCAGTAGAGCAAGCAGATAAAAGTTGGTATGGAAACAGTCTTAAAGACATCACAAACTAGTTGACTTAATACACATATGTAGAACACTGAAATCAATAACAGATCACACATGTTTTGAAAGCACTCAGAAAATATATATGGATGTAATTCTTTAGGTCATAAAGGAAGTTTTAATAAATTTAAAAGGATTTACTTAGTGCTTCAAGGAATATATGAGAGCTATAATTGAATGACAAAGATTTCTGGAAAATTTTCCATTGTTAACACAATAAACAACACTTTTAAATAACCTGTGAGTCAAAGAATAATTACTAAAAGACAACTTTTTATGTTATCTCCTACCAGCAACCCCAGGCTCTTGGGGAAGCTGTTTTTCCCTCAGGTGTGGGATGACATCCTCAGTTAGCTAAGAGATAGGGCGTGTGGCTTGCCTGTGTCATTGTTTCTCAGGATAGTCAGGAGATGGCCACACAGTGATCATGTGTGTGAGGGCATAGAGGAAGTGTTTGTTGACACAAAGAATGGAACACTGTATCCACATGGGTGTGGGTATAGTCCCAGGCAAGCTACATTTCTTGTCTTCATGAGAGTTTTTATCTGATGGTCAAAGTAGTACCCAAAGCAAGATTTGGGGAATTAAGATCCAAAATCTTGTTAAATTCTGAAATGTTCCATGTGTCATCTTTCTCATCTAACAGATTGGTGTTGTCATTTGGATTTAAATTTCATGATGGCAGAGAAGAAAAAGATGCTAGAGACCAGTTAGGACAATAATTTTTCAAAGATTTTTCTTTTTTGTACAGAAGAGGACTAGGAGTGTTTATGTGTCATCATCATAGTCCCTAGGGTATTAAACAGTGATTATAACTTTTTTTCCTATTCAGGTAAATATTAGAATACAAGTGACTGATGACAGTAACTCTGGTCTGAAATATTTTAAGTAGCTAATTCAGAAAATTCAACTCAAATTTATAAAAATAACATGAATTTTAATACATTATTTTAAGTAGTCTTACAACATCAAAAGTGCAATTTTCTTTTCTGTGCTGTATTATAGATGGTGAATTTGAGCCCAAACACACAGGGTTAGTTTTTCACCAATTAATAGCAAAGACAGGATAAGAGAAAACATTTTCTTTCTTCTAGAATTATATGTGTTGGGTCCACTACACCAGTCCTCTTTCTTTCTAGGTTCTGTATCGATAATAATGATCATGATAATAATAAGATGTTGTTGATGAGGATGAGGATGAACTCCAGGGACCTTACTCATTATATCTTTGTAGGCCAGTACTTGTTATACTGTGGACACTTAATAATGTTTACTGAATGAATATACAATGATAACTCCTCATAGAGCTATGATTTTGACCTAGGTGAATACAGGATCTGGGACCTCGATCGAGGTCTCCCACATGGGTATCAGTTGCCAGGTACTTGAGCCATCACCTGCTGCCTCCAAAGGTCTGCATTGACAGAAAGCTGGAATTGGGAGCTCGGGCTGGGAATTGAACCCAAGCATTCTGATATGGGATGTGGGTGTCCCAAGCCATGTTGCAACCAATTCACCAAATAGCAGCCCTCTATATTAGCTTTCCTAAAAAAAATTTATTTATTTATTTATTTTTTGAAAGTCAGAGGTACACAAAGAGAAAAGGACAGGCAGAGAGAGAAAGAGAAAGAGAAAGAGAGAGAGAGAGAGAGAGAGAGAGAGAGAGAGAGAGAGGGCACCTATCTGCTGGGTCAATCCCCAGTTGGCTACAATGGCTGGAGCTGCACTGATCTGACGCAGACCAGCTTTGGCTGGAATTTTGCTGTGAAGTCTTCTGTGTAATGTGGTCAGTGACATCACCAAAGGTTGTGCTGGTTGCACAACCTTAGTTTATGTTTGCCTTAGTTTATGTTGCCTTGGGGATTTAGGAGCCTAGTGTGCCAGGCAGGTCGGGTTTTGTGGCTATGACACAGTTACTGTAGCTCAGTTAACAGAAGCACCCTGCAGAATCGGAAAGCACCTTCAGATTCAGACTCCTGGTGCCCTGCTTGTCCACCATTCATTTCATGTGATGCTGATGTTACTGGAGGGGTGGGGAGGGGTCACAGCCCCCCAGCTGAGCATGGACTTGGCACTTAGCTTTTCAGACGAGGTGCTTCCCTGGAGTTTATTGTCACAAACACAGCACTGACCTGCGGTATCAAGTGATCACGTGTGGGAACAGGAGCAGGAGGAGGAAGGAGCCAGCACTGGTCAGGGCAGCTTATTCTCGGTGTGTGTGAGCATTGCCAATAAGCTGTCAAAAAAAATTATGGTTTAAAACAAACAGCCAGCTGGCACCACGGCTCACTAGGCTAATCCTCTACCTGCAGTGCTGGCACACAGGGTTCTAGTCCTGATTGGGGTGCTGGTTCTGTCCCGGTTGCTCCTCTTCTAGTCCAGCTCGCTGTTGTGTCCCGGTAACATAGTGAAGGATGGCCCAAGTCCTTGGGCCCTGCACCCATATGGGAGACCAGGAGGAAACACCTGGCTCCTAGCTTCAGATCGGCGCAGCGCACCAGCCACAGCACGCCAGCTGTAGTGGCCACTTGGGGGTGAACCAAGGGAAAAGGATGACCTCTCTCTCTGTCTCTCTCTCTCACTGTCTAAATCTGCCTGTCAAAATAAAAATACAGCCCACAGGCTTCAATTCACTTTCACCAAGACGCTCAAGCAGCTCAGAGGGAGCACAATTGATTCTGTTTTGACAGGTCCTGATGTACGCTAAGCACTGCCTTATTTATTTGTCATGATGTTCTTAGGAAGAAGGTGGGATTGTGTACATTTTACAGCTGGGAAAACGAAACTGTCAGTAATGAAGCGTGTGCCTAGAGTATTTCAGTTACAATGAAGGTACTTCAATGAATTCCTAGAAAATGGAATTCAAAGATAACTTGATTTTGTTGCAAAAATGTTTGAATTCCACAACGTAGGTTTTTTTTAATAATAGATGTTTTCATGAAGTTTTTTCAAGACCTCTCATGTAGGTATCCATGTCAAAATTTTTTATACCAAAACCAATTTTTTCGTAGCAGGCATTTGGTGCAACAGTTAGGTCACTTCCTGGGACACCCGCATCCTTTTTGGAGGGCTGGACATAGACCTTGCTGATTTTTTCAGAAGTCTACGCTTTTTCCGTCACATCCGTGACAATGAGCTCTGGCAGGACATCATGCTTTGGTGCCACTCCCAGACATGCATGTGCAGTTCCTCTGTGGAGGAGCTGGGGGGAACTGCAACTCGATACTCTGTTTTCTCATTAGCCCAGTTTGTCTTAACCTGTGAGCAAGAGCACATGTTTAGGAAAGTAAGAGGACAGCTCTTATGGCAGATGGATTTCTGCTCCCACGCCTTCCGTGGGAAGGACTTGCCCTGCCAGAAGTCAGAGGCACAAGGCAGCACTGGTGTATCTCTGTGTTTGTGGTGCAGGTGGGCAAGTGGGAGAACCAGACCCTGAGCCCAAGGCCCACGGTGTGGCCCTGGTACAAGTCCTTCTCTGACTGTGAGCTGGATCACAACCACCTGAGCATCGTCACCCTGGAGGAGGCCCCCTTCGTCATCGTGGAAGACATCAACCCGCTGACTGAGGCCTGTGTGCGGAACACGGTGCCGTGTCGGAAGTTCATCAAAATCAAGTGAGTGCCAGGGAGGCTGTGGTCTGGACATGCCCACGCCTGTCACATAATGCAAGTCACTGATCACAACAGCATCTGTACTACAAAACATAACACAGAACACACTGTTGTGATAGCTGTAGTGTTAGCAATGGGCTTATGTTTATGATTGCCTGGAGATGCACTAAGTTTACATCCGTTAAATTCTCACAGCCATATGAGGTGAGGGCGTTTGCCATTTACAGTTGATACAGTTGAGTTATGGGCAGGTTGGAGAACACGGCTGAAGCCATCCAGAGGTATGGCTGACTCCAGCTGTGTTCTTACCCATGGTGCTCAGTCATCCCCCAGCATCCTCAAAAGTCTCTCCTTAAAGTCTCCTTAAAGGATTTCTTTTTTTTTTTTTTTTGACAGGCATAGTGGACAGTGAGAGAGAGAGAGAGAAAGGTCTTCCTTTGCCGTTGGTTCACCCTCCAATGGCCGCCGCAGCCGGCGCTCTGCAGCCGGTGCACCATTCTGATCCGAAGGCAGGAGCCAGGTGCTTATCCTGGTTTTAAACATTTTTCTGTCCGTTCCCTCCCTGGCACGTCCCCCCTCCTCTGTATTTCCCAGACCGGGGGTGGACACAGCTTGGGAATGATTTCCTGATGCTGTAGAGGTGGAGTTTGAACCACTGACAGCATGCCAGTGTTGCATCCCTGCTGGAGAGTCACGGGTTGGTGGAGGATGGAGGGGACTGTGCAGGGAAGTCATGGGCTGGAGGAGGATGGAGGGGACATTGCAGGTTTGTTACCAAGGGCCGTTCTGATTTCAGTGGGTGTTGGGAGCCAAGCTTGACCACGTGAAGAAAGCAAGGAGCATAACATCTGTGGGACAACACCCTGTGTGCTTCATTATGGCCCATGAGTGTAGTCTCTTCTTCATAGTCGATAGCAGGAGTTTACAGTCTTTGAAAATCAGAAGGCCTAGAGCTGAAAACAAGCAGATGTCCACATCCCAGTTTGCTTGACTATGAAGTACATGAGCCAAAAATCAACGACTCCCTATGAAAGAATTGATATTTTTACTGAACACTGTGAACAGCGTCTCAGGTACAAGCTCAAATTTTGTTGTTGTTGTTCCTGTACAGAGGGGGCAGCTTGTGACTTTGCCTTTTCTGCTTGAGAACATGAGAAGTTTACTATGTATAGAGGTGAATTAAAGCCTTTGACTTCCGTGGGAGCAATACAAAATTAGAATCCATGAATCCCAACATTAACGTAGGTTAAAGCAATTAAATTTCCTAAATGTAGCATTTTGAGCCAGGCTAATTGGTTGCAAAAAGAATTCCTGTTGGACAACATGACTGTATTTACTTGGTACTGATTTTTCCAGGGAAAAACCTGCCCTTTCTAGCCTCTGGGAGATTCTGGGGTCTTGGAGGCCCATATTAGTCTCCAAAACCAGTTTAGGTATTGAATCCAGTGGTTATCACATGGAATATATACAAGGGTGGTACCCCAGATCTGGGGTCATCTCCCTGGAGGCTAGAGCTCAAAGTCTACATGGTGATCATGGCTGTAGAAGCAGAGTGGTTGAGGCAAACTCAAGGGCAGCATGACTGTGGTGGTGAGGAAGGTAGGTGGTTGGTGATTCTGGAATAAAGGAGAGCTCCAGGGAAAAGGTGGCATTTTCAACCTACTTCTGCTACTCAGTTATATTTTCAAGTCTGTCCACATTCATGGATGTAGCTATAAATAAACCTCTCTGACTCGATTATGTGTGTGTAACAAATTATATATGCTATATGTAGTCCATATTAACTGGAGAATTTTTTTTTTATTTTTTTATTTTTTTATTTTTTGACAGGCAGAGTGGACAGTGAGAGAGAGAGACAGAGAGAAAGGTCTTCCTTTTGCCGTTGGTTCACCCTCCAATGGCCGCCGCGGCCGGCGCGCTGCGGCCGGCGCACCGCGCTGATCCGATGGCAGGAGCCAGGAGCCAGGTGCTTTTCCTGGTCTCCCATGGGGTGCAGGGCCCAAGCACCTGGGCCATCCTCCACTGCACTCCCTGGCCACAGCAGAGGGCTGGCCTGGAAGAGGGGCAACCGGGACAGAATCCGGCGCCCCGACCGGGACTAGAACCCGGTGTGCCGGCGCCGCTAGGCGGAGGATTAGCCTAGTGAGCCGCGGCGCCGGCCAACTGGAGAATTTGATGGAAAAATCCTAATATGAAAAGGCAAAATCATTTTCTACCATTAAAAATAGCTGTGCTTCTCATTATTTTTTCATCCAGTTATTTCATAAACTCATTAGTTTTTACAGAGCTGTGATTATTATTTATAGTATTATATAACCTCTTTTCTAAACTAATAGATAGAAATGTACTTTCCTACTTATGAAGTTGAGTGTCTTCAAACATTATTTTAGTGCTTAGACGATAGTCCCGTGTGTGAATTTGCTCAAAATGTAAGGTTACAGATGGAGCACCTACATTGTAGCATGTGTGATTCAAGTAGAAGGTAGAGCTTCTGGGATGTTCCAGTGTAAGCAAGTTTGTTCCCTGAAGAGGCTGTGGTCTTCCTGCCTGCATTGTCTAAGACTTTCTGCTGTCAGTGGGGAAGACCATCATTTCCTTCCTTACCAAAGACGTTTCTGATTCGTGTGGGTGTTCTTTTCTAGGAGCTGGTTGGGAGAGTATAGCAGGGTGCCTGGTAGAAAACAGTGAGGTTGACCCTGGCAGCTCAGAAGATAGACTTTCCACTGGCCATATGGTCTCTGTTTTAATGGCAATTTTTCCCCCAGTCCTGGATATTACTCTTGAAAAGTTTGACCTTTTGTGCATCAAGCCATGTTGTTAGGAAGAAAAAATAGTACGAATGAGCCTTCACGGATAGTCGGGCCTAGTGTGAGAAGTTAATTCTGTGGACTCGGGCATGGGGTAGAACCCCATGATCGTAGGAGTTATCTAGGCACTTCCAGTTCTTACCTTTGGTTTCAGGCCTCCGTACTTAGAGGATGAAGCAAAACCTTACTTTACTTGAGAATTTCACACCTTCTTCTCTTCCATTTTCCAATAAATTTTTATGACTCAACTTAGATCAGATTGCTAGACTCTGGTTTAATGAAGTTGTATGTGGGGGCCGGTGCCGTGGCTCACTTTGTTAATCCTTCCCCTGCAGCAGCGGCATCGCATATGGGTGCCAGTTCTAGTTCCGGTTGCTCCTCTTCCAGTCCAGCTCTCTGCTGTGGCCCGGGAGGCAGTGGAGGATGGCCCAAGTGCTTGGGCCCTGCACCTACATGGGAGACCAGGAGGAAGCACCTGGCTCCTGGCTTCGGATCTGCATAGCTCCAGCCATAGTGGCCATTGCGGGGTGAACCAACAGAAGGAAGACCTTTCTATCTGTCTCTCTCTCACTGCCTACCTCAATCTGTCAAATAAAAAAAGAAGTTGAATGTGTTAGAAATGTTTAAAAATAAGAGTTAGTAACTCTTGCCTGTTGAGTAGAGGTACAAATGCTACCTAATTTGGAGAAACATCATGGAGCTCAATCCAGCAAATGGTATAAAGCATTTAGTGCAGTGCCTAACTGCAGTGTAGTAACTTCTCAGTAAACATTAGCTATTGTGCTAGTAACCGCTGTAATTAAAGACACTTGCTCCTCTGGCCGCCATAAGCTCAGTGTGCGTCCATGGAAAAGTTACTTCCCTTCTTGAACTTCAACTTCGCAAAGCTAGTAGAAGGGTATAGCTAATGACTAGACAAGTCTTCCAGTACTAACAGCCCATGGTCTTGGGATTTTCTTTGCAGCAATTCAGCTAACAAGGGGATGAACTTTAAGAAATGCTGCAAGGGGTTCTGCATTGGTATCCTGAAGAAGCTCTCCTGGACGGTCAAGTTTACCTATGACTTCTACCTGGTGACCAAAGGGAAGCATGACAAAAATGTCAACAATATGTGGATTGGAGTGATTGGGGGAAGTAAGTCACCTTTCCACCCCGGCCTCCCATTCTGACAGGGGCCTGTGGTCAGAAGTGTTGGGAAGAACATGTAAAGGTGCCATTCTTTTTATGCCTTACCTCCAGGTGGTTACCACAAAGCGGTCCTGGCAGTGGGCTCGACAACATCAATGAGGAGCGTTCTGAAGTGGTGGAATTCTCCGTGCCCTTTGTGAAGACAGGGATCAGTGTCATGGTTTCAAGAAGCAATGGCACTGTCTTGCCTGCTGCTTTTCTAGGTAGGTGAACATCATAGGGAATCCTGCTTCGCTATAAGAAATTATAGTTTGCTGAAAGCATGGGACTGGACCAGACCTAGCTGTTTAGCATGATTTGCCCACATCAGCATGTTCCAGAGCATGTTGCATTTATATTATCCCAACTCACACTCCCCCACCACCACTCCAGTTCACAGCTCTCATTAATCCTGTTACAAATCTCTGCTGAAAACTACTCTCATATATTCAGATACCAGTCTTCACTCTAGAATGCAAATTAATGAATATATGGCTTAGAGCCTTGAAAATATTTAAAAACTTAAACCTGGCTGTCCACAGTTAATTTAAATCAGTGCATAAAGCTTTATTCAACATCCATGTACACATCTTGCATCCCATGCTGTGGGATAAATGCCATTAATTTATTTATTAGATGCAAGAGGGAAAATAATGATGACTGCACTGTTATTTATACCAGTACTCTTATAAACAAAATGGTAGTCTGAAGAATGTACACTGATTTAAAATTAATGGAATCACATTTTAAATATGGCTGTTCTTTAAGCCAAATAGTTTGCAAAGCAGGAAGATCTCTTGACTCTGTTTTAACGTAAGTTTGTTTTCACATTAAAATATTCCCTTTTTGGATTTGTATATTTTCTCTTCCTTTAAACTTTTCTTCAGCTCTGTATGTACATGTGTTGGATACCCCGGCTAGATTAGTGAAAACTCCATGGAAGGTAGCCCAGCCCAGTTCATTTTTCTCTCTCACAAGGAAAGTGTTGTGTTGACTTTTCTTTCACATGCATTATTTCCATTAGTGGATGTCTTGTTGACAATCAGGCACTTCAGAGCATTAACTCCCTCTTGGTACTGCTATATGCATGCATTCACCTCAAATTTGTGAAGATTGGAACACACCTTAGAGGAAAGCAAATAAGAGAGGGAAGGCAGTTCTACGAAGCTTAATCAAAGAGTTGCAGAGAGAGTTAGAAACAAAGCGAGAGAAAAAGAAAGGCAAAGAAAGAGAGAGGTCTTCTATTTGCTAGTTAACTCCCCGATGGCTGCGATGACCAAACTGAGCCAATACAAAGTCAGGATCCAGGACCTTTTTCCTGGTCTCTCAAGTGGTTTCAGTGGTCCAGTGACTTTGGGCATCCTCTGCCACATTCCCAGGCACATTAGGAGGGAGCTGCATGGGAAGAGGAGCAGTCAGGACTCGAATTGGCACCCATATGGGATGCTGGCACTGCGTGTCGTGTCTTCAACCTGCTAGAACACAGCACTGTCCCTGACAGTATGGTTTTATTCTTTCTTGATTTTGATCTATTTATGTTTATTGATTTGCAAATGTGGAACCACCATGGCATTTCTGGGATAAATTCCAATTGAAGGTAATATATGAGCTTTACCATGTGATTTTGGAGTTTTTATTTTGGCTAGAATTTTATTGAGAATGTTTTCACCTGTTTCATTAAGGATATAGGGTGGCAATTTTCTATGCATTTCGTGTCTTTTGTAGTTCCTGGCATCAAAGGAATGCTGGCCTCATAAAAAGTGTTTGCCAAAATTCAGTGTTATTCAGTATTTTGAAGCAGTTTGAGAAGTGTTGAAGTGCCTTTGAAATGTTTTATTGAATTCAGTTGTAATGCAAGCAGTTTTCATTGCTGGAGTTTAGTGCCTGGAGTTTGCTGGAAAACTTTTAATTACTGCTTCAGTCTCACTGACTTTAAAGGGTCTTTTTCAGATGTCTGTGTCTTCTGGGTTTAATCTTAGTAGTTTACATGTATTTGTTATGGAGGAATTTCTCCATTTCTTCCTGTTTTTTCCAATTTTTTAGCATATGATATTGAATAGCAATTTCTTTTGAAGCCTTGTATTTCAGTGATGTTGGTTATTATGTCTGCTTTTTCATCTGTAATTTCACTTACTGTAGAGTTTTTCTCTTTTGTTATGTTAGTCTGGTTACAGAATTATCTATTTTTTTCAAATTTTATGTCAGGTATACAAATTTCATTCATTTCTTCTATACAGAGTCAAAACATACTGATACTTCTTCCCATGCTACAATCCCTCCATCCTGCTCTCAAACCCTTCTGCTCATTTCCTCTTTTGTTACTACTCTTTTATTAAAAAAATTTTTGACAAGCAGAATGGACAGTGAGAGAGAGAGACAGAGAGAAAGGTCTTCCTTTGCCGTTGGTTCACCCTCCAATGGCCGCCGCAGCTGGCGCACTGCGGCCAGCGCACCGCGCTGATCCGAAGGCAGGAGCCAGGTGCTTCTCCTGGTCTCCCATGCGGGTGCAGGGCCCAAGCACTTGGGCCATCCTCCACTGCACTCCTGGGCCACAGCAGAGAGCTGGCCTGGAAGAGGGGCAACCGGGACAGAATCCAGTGCCCCGACTGGGAATAGAACCCAGCATGTCAGCACCGCAAGGCGGAGGATTAGCCTATTGAGCCACAGCACTGGCCTTGTTACCACTCTTAATTCTTAATAATTATCTATTTTCAATTAACTATATACTCATATGTTTAGCCATACAATAAGTAGAGAACAGTATTAAAAAAAAAAAACACTGTAGAAAATCATCTATCACAGAATGTCAGTTTCCCTCCTACCCATTACCCTTTAGGTCTCTATTGGTTACCACAAATCAGGGTAACATATGGTATTTGTCCTTTCAGAATGGCTTATTTCACTAAATATACTGGTTTCCAATTATATCCATTTTGTTGCTAAAGACAGCATCTCTGTAATCCCCAATGGGTTGTGTTACCTAGTGTATATAGGCCATGATTTCTTTATCCAGTTATCAGTTCATGGACATCAGGGTTGATTCCATGTCTTAGCTATTGTGAAGTGAGCTGTGCTAAACTTGGAGGTGCAAATAATCCTTTCAAATATGCTGATTTCATTTCCTAGGGGTAAATCACCTTGAGATGGATCGCTGAGTCATATAGTAGATTTATTTCCAGCTTTCTGAGGTATCTCTACTTGCTTCCACAATGGCTTCACCGGTTTATGTTCCCACCAACAGTGGATTACGTTCCCATAGTTGTCACATCCTCAGTAGCATTTATTATTTGTTGATTTCTGTATGTGAGCCATTCTAACTGTTGTGCAGTGAAACCTCATTGTCATTTGGATTTGCAATTCTGTGATGGTTTGTGATCTTGAGCATTTTTTCAAGTGTCTGTTGGCCATATGAATGTCCTCACTTGAAAAAATGCATGTTCAAGTCCTTTTCCCATTTCTAAACTGGATTTTTTGTTTTGTGGTTGTTGAGTTCCTTGAACTCTTTATGGATTCTGGATATTAATCTTTTATCAGTTTCATAGCTTGCAAGTATTTTCTCCCATTCTTTCAGTTGCCTTTTCACTTTGCTGAGTGTTTCTTTTGTAGCGCAGAAGCTCCTTGGCTTGATGGAATCATATTTGTCTCTGCTTTTATTGCTTGTGCTTCTGGGATCTTTTTCCCTAGAAATCTTTGCCTATGCCAATACCTTTCGGTTTTCTCCAATGTTCTCTAGTAGTTTGATGAGATTGAGTTTTAGATTTTGTTCCTTGAAGTATTTTTAATTGTTTTTTGTATAAGGTGTAAGGCATGGGTCTTCTTTCATAGTTCTGCATGTGGAGGTCCAGTTTTCCCAGGACCATTTTTTGAAGAGACTGCCCTTTGCACCTGGGATTGATCTTTAGCCCATTTGTCCAATAGCATTTGTTTGTAGATGTGTGCACAGATTTCTGGAGTTTCTTTTCTGTTCCATTGGTCTATATGTCAATTTTTTGCTTATACCATGCTGTTTTGATTGTAACTGCCCTGTTCTGTGTCTTGCAGTCTGTCGTTGCGATGCTTTGAGCTTTGTTTATGTATATGTTTTAAATTTGTATTTAACAAATATAAATTTCAAAAGTGCAGCTTTTGGATTATAGAGGCTTTCCCCCCCATAACCTCCCTCCCACCCACAGCCATCCCATCTCCCACCCCCTCTCCCATCCCATTCTTCATCAAGATTCATTTCCAATTAGTTTTTTTTTTTTTTTTTGACAGGCAGAGTGGACAGTGAGAGAGAGAGACAGAGAGAAAGGTCTTCCTTTGCCGTTGGTTCACTCTCCAATGGCCGCCATGGCCAGTGCGCTGCGGCCGGCGCACCGCGCTGATCCGATGGCAGGAGCCAGGAGCCAGGTGCTTCTCCTGGTCTCCCATGGGGTGCAGGGCCCAAGCACCTGGGCCATCCTCCACTGCACTCCCTGGCCACAGCAGAGAGCTGGCCTGGAAGAGGGGCAACCGGGACAGAATCCGGCGCCCCGACCGGGACTAGAACCCGGTGTGCCGGCGCCGCTAGGCGGAGGATTAGCCTAGTGAGCCGCGGCGCCGGCCTCATTTCCAATTAGTTTTATATACAGAAGATCAACTTAATATATACTAAGTAAAGATATCAACAGTTTGCACCCACGCAGATACATAAAGTACTGCTTCAGTACTAGTTTTACCATTAATTCGCATAGTACAACACATGAAGTATAGTGCTCATTAAGAAATGCCACGCATTTACTTTTTTTCCCCCATTTTCTTTTTAATAGGTACAGTAGCATCTTAGGAACATCAGATTACTTGTTAGAACAAGGAAACTGTCTTCCAAAACCTGCCTTACAGACTGCCAGCCAGGATATCTCCTGCACGTGGCCTTTAGGAGAAGGAGACAAGCAAAAAATGCAGCGTTAAGAACACAGTTGCATAGGGAAGCAATGCCTCTCTACATGTTTTCCTCTAACTTCTATTTCAGATCATTGGGCAGAGAGAGTGCATATTCAGGGAGTTCTAAACCCCTGCCCGAGCCCCCATCACAGACAGAGAGATGCAGTGGTAAAATGGACCAGTATATTACATCCTTAATCCTCACTTTCAGTGGAGACAAGGGTTACTTAGAGGACTTTTCTCATCACTCTGGTTAACGTGTTTCTGGTTTGGATCAGAAGTGAGCAGAGGGCCTGTGGCATTATGGAAAGGACCTGAGTTGGTGTTAGTCTGAATTGAGGTCAGTCCGTGGCTTGACCTGTTTCTAGGGGAGTTATATGGCATCTTTCATCCTTCTCTGCCTCTTCCTCAAAATGGAGATAATCGTGGTTTCTTCATCTGTTTGTTGTGAAGATAGATAAGTTTAGGTACTTGCGGTAGTACCTGGTACACCCAACGTTCTGTTTATGTAGTCTTTGTCCTTATTAAAAATGTGGATGTGTGTGCAGGAAAGGGCGTGATTGTGGGGAGCAGCTGGGGGGAACTGTGGCCCGATACTCTGTTTTCTCTTTAGCGCCAGTTTGTCTTAACCTGTGGGCAAGTGCATGTGTTGAGGAAAGTAACAGGACAGCCCTTATGGCAGATGGATTTCTGTTCCCGTACCTTCCATGGGGAAGACTCACCCTGCTGGAAGTCAGAGGCACAAAGCAGCAAAAAGCCTAAAACTGGGATTCCAGATGAAATAATCTTACTTTACTTTCATTTAAAAATATTTAAATGAACACTGACCAAAAATAATGCGTAGTCTGGTGCTTTGGGGACCTGACTCTGTCCTGTTATCCAAGGCACTCTTTCTCCAGGTTGTCATTTTAATTTGTCATTCCTTGGGTATTAGATCACTGGATGGTTGAGTATATTTCTTTAGTTATTTTGAAAGTTGAAGGTGGAGGGAGGAAAGAGAGAGAGAGGGAAGGAGTCTTCCATCTGCTGGTCTACTACCGAATTGGCTGCAGTGGGCAGAGCTGAGAGTACCTGAAGTCAGGAGCCAGGAGCCTCCCTGGGGTCTCTTCATGGGTGCAGAGGCACTAGGACTTGGGGCATTTTTTACTGCCTTCCCAGACCACAGCAGAGAACTGCATTGGAAGTGGAACAGCCAGGACTCGAACTGGCGTCATGGGATGCTGGCACTGCTGGTGGTAGCTTGACCCACTACCCCACAGTGCCGGCCCTTCCCGGAAGCCTTTACCCCTGGGATCCAGCTGTCTGCTAACACGCCTGGGAAAGCAAAGGGAGACGGCCCAAGGACTTAGGCCCCTGAACCCACAATGGAGCACGAGATAAAAAGTCCCTGGCTTCTGCTTCAGCCTGTCCCAGTGCTGGCCTTTGTAGACACCTGAGGGGTAAACCCCCATATGGACTATCACTCAGAGAGAGAACAGTGCTTGCGATGGCGCCTGCACTGCTTCTCTCCCCACGTGGATTTGATGGCCAGTGCTGGGCCAGGCAGAAGCCAGGAGGCAGGAGCTCCATTCGGGACTCCGAGCGGCAGGGAGGCAGGATCCAGAGAACCTGGGCAATCAGCAGCTGCCTCTCTGGGTCAAAGTCTGGAGCAGCGGGACTGAAGTGGCCCTGGGGCTTCTGTCCCTTGATGCTGAAGTGCACAGATGCGTTCTGTAGTGCCATGGCAACGGCCACTGGGGCCTGCGCGTGCATCCTGCACTTTGACCCGGAAGTGCACCCTCTGGCATGGCCGCCTCTGAGCTTGGCGCATAGGTAGGAGTCAGCGCCTGCGTCTGCTGCTGCCCGAGAGACTGCACAAGCTATGAGGTGAGGAGCCATCCTCGACGCTGGTGGCCAAGCCTGAGGGAGACCCAGCAGCCCCAGGGTCAGGCCGGGATCTGGAAAGGCTGCGTGTCCGAGGCTGCCGAGCCATTTCCCAGGAGCGTTTCTCTTCTTCGGCCCCTTCCGGAAGCAACGGCTTTGGCAGGCCTCTATCCCGCCTGCAGACTGGGCCCCCTTGGAGGTGAGTGACGCGTGGCTGTTGCGGATTCCCGCTGGGGTCTTGGGTGCCAGCGTGCCTGTTGCTCTTGGTCCCGAAGGCGCGGGTGGAGTCGTGGTCATGCAGTGGGGACATTCTGGAAGGGTCCCCAGGGTGCGAGCAGCTGTGCGAGAGCAGAGGTGGCTCCATCTCCTCCTGGAACTGCCCCGTGTTCCTGTCTGTTTGCTTTTTGAGGGCCCAGCCACCCTGCTCTAGATGTCTGAGACTGTTGTCGGAAGGAAGGAGAGTGAAAGTGCGTGTCTGTGTCCTGGTCTAGGAGGACAGTTTCGGGTTCCTGGCATTGGGTGTGATGTTAGCGCTCTGTGGGTTTTTCATGAAAGAGCCTTGTCAGGCCGAGGTGTACCTTGCGTTCCTAATTTGATGATTTGTTTTTAATACCGCAAAAGTAATGAAGGTTTTGTGAAATAGGTTTTCTGTGTTTATCGGGATACTCTGTGGGTTTTTCCCATGTTTGTTCTGTTCTGGGATAAATTGCTTATGTATGGTAGCCTTCCTTGCATTCCCGGAGTAACTCTCAGTTGCACACAGTGTGCTAAGCTTTGTTTGTGCTCCCGGATGGCATTTGGTAATATTTTGTTGAGGTATGTGACACATTCATGACGGATATTTGTGTGCCATTTTCTTGATGATGTGTGCTTGTTTTGGATGTTGAGATAATGCTGCTCTGATGGAATAAAAAGGAACGTTTTTCCTCTTCATCTCCTTTTTGGAAGGGTGTGCAAAGAACAGATTATAATTATCTTTTAAATGGGAGTTCTCACCAGTAGAGCCATTTGGTCCTGGACTTTTCTTCATGTTTTTTGTTTGTTTATTTTTGTTTCCCTGCTACTGCAGTCTCTTTTCAAAGTATAAGTGTATTTAGGTTTTCTTGTTTTACTGTATTCAGTTTTAGTGGTTTGTGTCTTTCTGACAATCAGTCCACACTGTAGCAACATTGACCAAATCCTTGTGCCTTGGCTTTTCCATAGTGTTTTCTGATTATTATTTTGGTAAGGTAGGTAATTGTGTCCTCTCTGTCGTTTCTGTTGTGAAGTCACTTGAGTCTGTTCCCTTTTCTCCCTTGTTTCCTGCGGATAAACGTTTTGTCCATGTCATTGAGTGTTCAAGAATAGTATTTTCGTCTCACTGAATTTCTGTTGTGATATTTTCTATTCTGTTGGATTTATTTCAGTTTGTGTATTTTTCCTCCTTCCGGTTTCTTAAGATTTACTTTTCTGTTCTAGTGTTTGAAGGTAAAATTGGGTTTATTGATCTGGTATCTGTATTCCTTAATATATACATGTATAGCAATACAGTTTGTCATGTGAAACAAGTCCTGTCAACATGGAAAACTGTATGGATGTACACAGTACTGGTAACATATTGAAGGAAACGAATCATTATGTAGGCAGAGGTTTTCACAGGCCTATGCTCATTGCAGCAGGATGCAGAATAGCCAGGCTGTGCTGTCTGTACATGCATGTATGGTGTACATAGCCCATAATGTCATTATTCAGTCATCAGGTGATGTGCATTTTGGTTGCTTGCCTATCTTTGCTCTTGTAATTAGCTGTAGTAAATATGAGGGCAGAGATCACTGTTTGTATGTTGATTTCATTTCCCTTTTGTATATTCCCAGGGCTGGAGTGGCTGGCTCATATGGTACATCTATCTTCAGATTTCTGAGGTATCTCCATACTGTCTTCCACAGTGGCTATAGCAGTTTACATTCCTACCAGCAGTGGATTAGGGTGTCTTTCCCCCACATCCTGAAGGCCATTGTAGTATTGATTTGCATTTCCCTGATGGCTAGTGATCCTGAGCATTTTTGCATGTGTTTGTTGGCCATTTAGATTTCCTTTCTTGAAATATGCCTGTTGAAGTCCCTTGCTTATTTCTTGGTGGGTGGTTTGTTTTGCTGTTGTTGAGTTTCTTGAAAGTTTCTGGTACTTAATCCATTATAAGTTGCATACTTTGAAGATAATTCTGCCCATTCTGTTATTTGCTTTTTCATTTTGCTGAGTGTTTCTTTTGTAGTGCAGAAGCATCTCAATTTTTTTGTTTTCTTCTATTCTTTTGTTTAATCTTTTGTGATTCTCAGATATTGGACCTCCTTGGTTAAATTTATTCCAAGGTCCTTTATTTTCTTTGTAGCTACTTGAACAGGTTTGGTCATAGAGGTTCTTTCTCAGCCATGACATTGTTGGTGTATACAAAGGCTGTTGATTTTCTATCCTGCCACATTACCAAACTCTACTATGAGTTTCGAGAGTCTCTTAGTGGAATCTTTTGGATCTCCTATATATAGAATCATGTCATCTGCACATAGGGATAGTTGAACTTTCTCCATCCCCATTTGTATCTAACATTGAGAAATGAGAGAAAAAGTACCAACAGGATAACATGCACGTAGAAAATGTCAACAGTGACCTCAGATGCTACCTTTATATTCTATCTTGCTTCGTGGAACACAGGATTTGTCCTATTTCAAACATGATCAATACTTTAAATGCAAGGCTAGTTATGGAGATTGGAGATTGGGAAGCAGACCTGTGTTCCATGGAGAACCGTGTAGATCGTGGGTGTTTCAAGTCCTTGTGCGAATGGGTATGTAGGTGTCTGAATAAATAAATTCCAAAGATTTCCTCATGTATAATTCAGAAATCATACCACACAGAATGTTTGTAAGGAAGAAGAGAATGAATGGGTACCAAAACCTTTTCTAAGACCCAGTTAAACTCTTTTTCAAATTCTTTGTTAGTAGGGCATGTAGTGCATATAGTATCAAATTCTAGATAAACTCTACTAGTTGGCCTTGATGTAGTATTTTATTTAGAGCTATGTTTTCCTTTTTTAAAAGAATTTTGCTTTTTTTAAGGTATTTTTTACTTGAAATTAGGAGTTAGAGAGAGAGAGAGAGATAGGTGTCTTCCATATGCTGGTCCACTCCCTAATTGGCTACAATGGATAGAGCTGAGGGGATCCAGAGCCAGGAGCCAGGGGCCAGGAGAATCGCTGGGGTCTCCTGCATGGGTGCAGAGGCACAAGGACTTCTACTGCATTCCCAGACCACAGCAGAGAGCTGCATTGGAACTGGAGCAGCTGGGACTCAAACCAGTGCCCATATGGGATGCCGGCACTGTGGTCAGTGGCTTCACCTGACCCCGCAGTGCCTGCCTCTCCTAGAGGCCCTTCCCTGTGGGATCCAGCTGTCTGCTAAGCAGCTTGGGAAAGCAGAGGGAGAAGGCCCAAGGACTTAGGCCCCTGAACCCAGAATGGAGCACCAGATAAAATGTCCCTGGCTTCTGCTTTGGTCTGTCCCAGTGCCAGCCTTTGTAGTCATCTGTGGAGTGAACCCCTATATGGATGATCACTAAGAGAGAGAAATATTGTTTGCGATGCCCCCTGCACTGCTTCTCTCCCCACATGGCTTTGATGGCCAGGGCTAGGCCAGGCAGAATCCAGGAGGCAGGAGCTCCATTCAGGACTCCCACAAGGCCTGGCGGTAGGGTCCAGACTACCTGGGTCATCAGCCACAGCCTCCCTGGGTCACAGTCTGGAGCAGAGGGACTGGAAGTGGCCCTGCTGCGTCCGACCCTGGATGCGGCAGCATGCCAATGTGTCCCCTGATGCCATGGCAGCCACCCATGGGGATTGCGCCTGCGCCCAGCACTGTTCCTTGGAAGTGCTTGCACATGCGTGGCCCCTTTTGACCCGATGTGCTCAGGTGGGAGTCCGCAGTGCGTTGGCTCAACCCGAGAGCCTTTTCAAGCAATGAAGAGCCGTCCTCGACCCTGCTGGCGGAGCATGAGGGAGACCCAGCAGCCCCAGGGTTAGGCCTGGATCTGGAGAGGCTGGACCTGAGGCGGCCACATCAGTTACCTTGGGCTTCTGGAAATTACTAGGCTCGGTTCTCTTCTTTGGCTCCTTCCAGAAGAGTATGCCTCTTACTGAGTTCCTGTTCCAGAAGAACAGAAATGCTCTTTCTGTGTTGAGTTTGGTGTGTTGGCCTTTCTGTCATGGTGTGGGCGGGGGCTGGGGTGTGCATGCAAGGGGGTTAAGGGGATAGTAGTAAGAGGAAGAGTGTCAAGGGAGAGGTGGGAACGGAGAGGAATGGGAGAGAATGAAAAGGTGGCATGAATGTGAGGAGGCGTGAAACGAAGCTAAGAAAGGCGTGTTGCAGAAAGGAAAGGGAGGGGGAGTGTGGCAGGAGTCCTAGAGGGTGTGGTGGGTGGTTGGGAGAGGAAGAACTTTTCCCACGGTCCTGGTACTGTTTTGGGGGTTTCCTGTGCCTGGCCAGATGTAGCCTTGGCCACATCCATGAGAAGAGGCCTTTACTCACGGCCTCTGCTCTGGGTTGTGCAGCAGTGTAAGGTATGTGTGCAGGGGCACGGGGGCACGGGGCACTCAAATTAACTGGCATGTAATCCAGTGAATTTTCACAGACTACACACACGGAGGAGAAAGCAGAAGCTTAGAGAAACACCAAGAATCCCTCTGTGTTCTGTTCCAGCCTGTCCAAGGTTCTGACACCTCATAGTAAGTACTAGATATTTTTTACTTTTTAAAGATTGGTTTGCAAGGCAGAGTTATAGATGAGGCAGTGCAGGAGAGATCTTCAATGTATGGGTCCCTACCCCAGGTGGCTACAGTGTCCCGGGGGTGGGCCAGGACAGACCAGAAGCCAGGTACTTTATCCAGTACTCCAGTGTGGGTTCGGATGCCTAAGCCCTTGGGATGCTTCCTCTGCTTTCCTTAGGGGTATGAGCAGAAAGCTGGATTACAAGTGGGAACAGCCTAGGTATTTGGGGCAGCGGGTTGGCTGAGCCATGGCATAGTGGATGAAGCCGCCGCCTGCAGTACCAACATCCCATATGGGTGTTGGTTCGAGTCTCAGGAGTTCCACTTCCGTCCCAGCTCTGCTGTGGCCTGGCCAAGTAGTAGAAGAGGGCCCAACTCCTTGGGCCGCTGCACCTGTGTGGGAGTCCTGGAGGAAGCTCCTGGCTCTTGGCTTGAAATCTGCTTAGCTCCGGCTGTTGCGTCCATCTCCTATTTTTATCCTTGTATCTCAAGAGCAGTATCTTTCGTGTGTTTCACAATATATACTAAGCTTAATAAAATGAAAAGGTTTGAAGATTTTCCTGCAGCGGCCTTTGCTGCAGCCTCTCCAGTGGGCAGAGCACCAAACATGGCTCTGTATTTCCAAGTTTCAACTTGGTAAGAAACAAGTTGTGAGCTTTAGGACTGAAGAAACGAATTGTGCAGTGAACACTCTTTACTTTGTACTGTGAAGTTTATGGGTCAGTTTCTCTGGGATTGTGCTAATAAAGTAACTCCCATGAAAGCTGAGGGTGTTGATCCTAAAGGCTGAAGTTAGGGGATTACTCAGACTTTGAATTTCAGCTTTTTATTGTGTATCAAGTGATCCAGTGCTTGTCATTGAAGAAGAATGCGTGAATCTCTTTGACGTTGAAGTTGGCTCTGCCTCATAGCAGTGACTCTTAACCATTTAGTGCACTTAAAAGTCAACTGGGGAGCTTGTTAAAGCGCTGACTCTGGGCCCCACTCCAGAGTCTGCGAAAGGGACAGGAATAAGCATAGCCACTGGGCTCCACACCATACAGGTACAGCTATGGCTTTAAAGCTGTTTCACTGACCTCATATATGAGATTGTTAAATTAACAACAGGAGTCACTGTGTTCTAACTCCCTGTGCAGGATCTCTGTCCTCAATGAGTTGCATTATGAGAGTTAACTGTAAAACTAGTTCTCTTTTTTATTTTTATTTTTTTGACAGGCAGAGTGGACAGTGAGAGAGACAGAGAGAAATGTCTTCCTTTGCCGTTGGTTCACCCTCCAATGGCCACTGCAGCCAGCGTGCTGTGGCCGGCGCACCGTGCTGATCCGAAGGCAGGATCCAGGTACTTATCCTGGTCTCCCATGGTGTGCATTGCCCAAGGACTTGGGCCATCCTCCACTGCACTCCCTGGCCACAGCAGACAGCTGGCCTGGAAAAGGGGCAACCTGGACAGAATCCGGTGCCCCGACCGGGACTAGAACCTGGTGTGCCAGTGCCGCAAGGTGGAGGATTAGCCTAGTGAGTCACGGCGCCAGCCGAAAAACTAGTTCTCAAACTGTGTGTGTGTGTGTATGTGTGTGTGAGCACTTGTGTGTTCAACTTGCTGAAATCTTTACTTAATATAGAATTTGTCTTCTGTGTATAATGTTAATTGAAAATGAATTTTAATGGAGAATGGGACTGGGAAGGGGAGAGGGAGGAAGAAGCGGTGTGGGAGTGTAGGTGGGAGGATGGGTATGGTGGGAAGATTCACTGTATTCCTAAGGTTTTATTTATAAAATTTATATTAAAAGTAAATAAATAGAAAGGACGAAAAAAAAAGCTGATTTTCAGCAGTGGGTCTCTTGACATTTGGGTAATTCATAGCCGTGGGGAGTTGTTTTATGCATTAAAGACTTTAGCATCCTCTCTGGTGTTTATAGACTAAGTTTTGGTTGTACCTCACCCCCAAGTTGTGACAGGTAAATTCTCCAGCCTCTGCTTGGTGGGGCCCATTCCTGTAGATTCTGGCTGGCTGGTAGACAAGTATCATTCACTGAGTTTTGAGTTGGTAAATGGTAAGGTCAGTTTTAGAGTTTGTTGAGTTGAATTGGTTGGTGAGATACAATGAATGTCCAGTTATTTTGATATGGGAATGATTAGGGCTAGATATAGGATTTGGGAGCCATCATCATCTCTAGTTTAACTCTAAAAATGGCTAAAATATCCAAGAAAATGATAAACTGAGAGAGGAACAGTGGCTGTAACACAGAACCCGGGAGGAGTGCTAATGGTGTGGGAGGTGAGTGAAGGAAGAGGCTTCCATAAGAAGTCATCAGGGATGTAAGAGAAGGGCAAGAAGCAGAGATGTTTTGGAAAGTGATGGAAGCGAGTATGGCCAGGATAAGGAAGGTGACACTCAGCAGGAGAAATGCTTCAGAACTATAAATCCCAAAAAGACTGATTGGACCTAGCTGCTGAGAGATCATCTTGACTGTAGAGACCTGTACCTGTATAAGATGTGGCCACTGAGCACTAGAGGTGTGGCTGGACCATGCTGCAATTTGCTATAAGCACAAAGTTCACACCTCCAAAGAGTTTCCCTCATGACTCATTTGAGTCTCCTCCAGTGATTCAGACTACAGCCTGGAGGTGAGAGTGAGGGGCGGTCTCAGCATCCTAACCACTGCCATGTCTTCCATGTTGGAGAAGTTCTCCTACATCCTCGAGGACAAGGTTAGCTGCTACGGGCAGACCGAGAAGCCAGAGGCCCCACTGCATACTCTTTGCCAGTAAGAGAGAGCTCTTTGCTTATCTCCTAAAGTGAGATCGCAGTTTAGTGGTCGCTTGTTTAGATGTTTGTTGATGAAAATATGCACTGAAAATAGATAATGTGATGTGTGTGCATTTGTGATTTCTGTTGTATTTAATTTCACTCTGCTTTCCTCTCCCTTTATCTCAAATCCTTTTGCTTTTAAGATAATTAATTTTATGCTTTATTCCTAACAGTGTATTCAAGAAACTTACAAATGGTATAGAGAGTCTCTCTCTCTCTCTCTCTGTATCTCAGGGATATCTAGGTTCCTTATAATGTACAGATCACATTCTTCAATATAGAAGAAACCTGATTTATTTATCCAATCCACGTAATGATTGCAGTTTCGTTTTGTGAGATTTTCCCCCTTAGAAGTGTTGATCTGCAGTGATAATGATCCAGCTTGACTATGCACATGTGATTCCTTCTAAGAAGTGGGGGTTTGGGGTCATAAGTCATGCAAGTTTTTAAATTTAAATATCTATGACCCAGTTTTGGTGCAGAATAACTGCCAATTTCCATTCACACCCATAGGTTGTTAAATCCCCCAGTTTCCCAAGTCCTCAGCCACTTGCGACTGTTGGGGAAAAACTTCCCGTACTGGTGCTTCTGGTCTCAGACTTAGTATTTCCTGCCTCCTTATACACTAAGTATTTTTGTGGGCCATGGGACGTCTTGGCAACCATCACACTTAGAGCTGAATTGTATTCCATCAAATGGACAGCTCCTAATTTATTTGACTGCTACCAACTTGGTGGATGTAGAGTCAATTTGATGTTTCTGAGAAGTCTCATTGTTCTTGTGGCCCAACACTGGCTCAGCTGTTGAGATTTAGAGTTATCACTGCAGACTCATTTGGCATATTTTTGTCTGATGCTCACTGAATCAATCCATACTTCATTCCTCGGATAACGAGCATTGTAGCACTGTGATTGAGGGACTGGGCTCTGGAGTTAGCCTGTCTGGTTTCAAATATGGTGTCTTCTGCTTTCTCTGTGCCTTGAACGATCAATTTACCTTTCTGGGCCTGAGGTGTTCATTGTGAAATTATAACAGCCCCTACTCTCACAGTGATCATTCCCCAACTTTGGCACACATCAGATTTTTGGGGAGAGCTTGTTACATCAGAGACTGGGCTCTGCATGTTGGCATGTCTCAAGTAGCAGCAGTACAAGCATTTGTGATTCTAGCATTTTCCTGGGTGATGCTGACCTTGCTTCCTGGGGATTTTGTTTTGAGAAGCTATTGTGAGTATTAATTGAGGTGACACATGAACAATGCTGCTTAGCACCATGCTTGTGTTGCCCTCGGTAATTAGGCAATAACTTTTGAGCAATGCATGAAGTTTCTGGCCATCATTAATGACAATCAGCAGATCATGTGAGTTTATGGCAGGAGAGTACAGGGTCGCTCTAAAATATCAACCTCTAGCATAGAGGTCAAGTTCCTCTCTGTCCTGGGGCTTGAGGGGTGTGTGTGTGTGTGTGTGTTAGACAGTATACTTCTCTCTGCACTGGGGCTGGAGGGGTGTGTGTGTGTGTGTGTGTGTGTGTGTGTGTGGTAGGCAGTATACTTCTTTACAATTAACACAGACCTGAGAAAGGAACTATTCAATTGGGAAGTCATGGTCCTGTGACAACTTCCCTTCCTCTCCTCTTCACCTCAATAATCCTGTTTCTACATCACCCTTTTTAGCATTTTAAATAATTCTCCAAATGCCAGGATAAACCTCAGGTAAATCCATGTGAGACACGCGAGCCTCTTAGTGAGTGTGATTGCTGCCAGCCTAGAGACAAGAGCTGGGCTAATGAATTCGTTCTTCCTTTCATGAGGGGTGCCCTGCAGGTGGAATACTCAGAAATGTGAAATCTTGATGGAAATGTAACTCAATTGTAGGGGAGTTGAAATATACACAGAAGAATAAATTTGGGGCCAGTACCGCGGCTCACTAGGCTAATCCTCCGCCTTGTGGTGCCGGCACACTGGGTTCTAGTCCCAGTCGGGGCACAGGATTCTGTCCCGGTCGCCCCTCTTCCAGGCCAGCTGTCTGCTGTGGCCAGGGAGTGCAGTGGAGGATGGCCCAAGTGCTTCGGCCCTGCACCCCATGGGAAACCAGGATAAGAACCTGGCTCCTGCCATCGGATCAGCGCAGTGCGCCGACCACAGCACGCCAGCCATGGCAGCCATTTGAGGGTGAACCAACGGCAAAGGAAGACCTTTCTCTCTGTCTTTCTCTCACTGTCCACTCCGCCTGTCAAAAAAAAAAAGAAGAAGAAGAAGAAGAAGAAATTTGGGTGGAAGAGTTTGCAAAATATTCTGTTCCCTTTCCAGTGGCCACCCTGGATTCCATTCTTGAAAATCCTGCCATTGTAAAATTCTGTTGTGCCATTTCCAGAAGTTAAGCCTTTAAATGCAGCAAGTTTATAACGGTGATTTCAGTCCCCAGAGAAACACACATCAAGAGCAGTTTAAGTTGTCATCCACTGCCTGGAGTTTAGCCAGGCATCTCTGCACCCATGGAGGATCCAGGGTACTTACACAGGGTGTAAGGTTGGGAAAGGGCACAGGAATCTTTGTTAAACCCCTCAACCCCAACAAGCCCAGTGTTCCCACACTCACCCTAGGAGGGTGTGGGCCACGTGTCCTTGGCCATAGCTAGAGCAAGCCCAAAGAAGCCCATCGAGAACAAAGCTTGTAGAGGTCTCTGGGTTTCCACCCTCCACCCTCCCTCCTTGCATGCGCAGTCCTGGTGCATGCCCCTGGCATGTTCAGAGGAGATAGGGAATAACTTCAGTCCTTGGATACCATACACTGACATGAAGATGGGGAAAGCATGTCTAGGGACACAGTCAAGTAACAAGAATTCTTCTGCTCAATATTGACCAAAAACAAAACAAAACACAACAAAACAAAACAGGAGTGCAGAATCTGATAAAATGCCCACCCCAGCACTCACCGTGGAGAAGTGGAGAAAGAAGACTGACATGCCACATTGGTTTCAACATTTTAAAGGCAGTAAAACATTATTGATGATGTAGAAGTCCTGCTCAGACCCCAGTCCCAACTTCCTCCCCTGGTCCCTGGAGGGAACACACTGGGAGGCATTTGCTGTTCATGCAGATTAATGGACATGGTTTTGTACTTAAAGTTTCAGCATGTGCAGATCTCTAACAAGTTTGTGGAATTGTGCAGGATCTTGAAGCATTTTTAAATATTTTGTTTATTTGAGAGAGAGGGAGAGTATAAAACCCACTGCACCATAGTGTGCACAATAGCAGGAAGCTGGATTGAGAAGATGGAACTGGGAGCTGAACCCAGACACTTTGGTGTGGGACATGTGCTTCCCAACTGGCATCTTAACTGCCAAACCAAATGCCTGCTCCTGCAAGCTATTTTAATTCCATTTCTCATGAACCTTTTGAAGTACCCTCCTGTGCAGCCACATAACCAATACATAGTATCTTTTTTTTAATTTGAAAGGCAGAGTTACTGAGAGGGAGGCAGGGACATACATACTTCTCCCATGCTCTGGTTGGGTCATCTCGTAGAATATGCCATGCTTGTACTTGTGTACTGGCCAGGTGTCTAGCAGAGGGCACTTATGCACCTTGAGCCCCAGCGCTCTGTTGCAGAGTAAGGTGCTGCAGGTTGCTCCACAGCTTCCTGAAGGAGGGTGGTCTCGGCCTCTCAACCATACTTTCCCCAGCACTTTGTATTCTCATTTGCGGGCTTCTCCTGATGTTTAATTTCATCTGATTTTTTAAATAGCAACTGGAGACTCTTTCTCCTTAAGGGTTTGGGGGTGGATAGAGTAAAATAGAGTACAACAGACAGAGAACTTGGCAAATTTGTGTCTTGGTCACCATTGTGTTTTGGTATCTCATGTGGTTCCTGGCAATTTCCAAATGTTAAAAAAAAATATACTATATGTATATAAATATAATGTTATTTATTTTTATTTATTAGAGAGGTGCCTAATGAAAAATACTCTGTCAAATTTTAAAATGAATCGCAGTATAATTTCAAAGAACAAAGTGAAACAAACGAAAGACCTGTGGCCCCACTGCCCTGAGCTCGCCTCACCTTGCTGCCTACTTTTGACAGCTCGAGCTCAGGAGCCGCCTGAAGCCATGCTCCCTGTGCCAGCCTACACAGGCTAGGTCTTTGTTTTCTGATTGGTTGGCACCAGAAAGTATTCCCATCAGAACTGAAGTTTGCCATTGAATACCAGTTTTATAAAAGTGTTGCTCAGTCCCACTATTTCCCTTTAGTTTCTTGGTGTCCAGCGTTGTGGCGTTCTTCCTCGGATGCTGTGTAGAGCCCCAGCGCTGGACTTGGAACAAGGAGGTGAGCTCCATGATGAGCAACACCTGCAGGAAGGCTGGGCCGCTGGTGTCTGAGGAGTGGTAGTGGATTCACCGGGCCTCTGAATCAGGTTCATCCATCCTCGCCTGGTGAGTCTTTTTGAACTCTTTGTGCATATCGTGTGATGGCCCCGAACATGGGTCAGGGACACTCAGGCCTTCAGGAGCCAGATGGAAGGAAGAATAAATTGTGTATTACATTGTATGCTACAAATTAAATAGTGTATTTTATATTATAAATTATTTTTGTTACATATCATAAATTGTGTGTTGTTATAAGTATACTTTAAAATGTATATGTGCTCAGAGGTATCACACATAGTTCCAGAAGGAATGAGCCTACCTGGCTGAATGCTGATGCCAGGATGGGTGAACCACCAGGTGGGCGATGAAGACACCCAGCCACTGTGTTAATTTCCAGGTTTTTTGCTATTATTTTCTGGATTTATAGTTGTACTTAGTGGATAGGAACTGAGAAATGGATCTGGTCATCCAGAAAGGAAGTTTCTGCTCGCAGGCTTTGACTCCTGTTTTTCCTGATTTGCTAAGATGGTTTATCTCAGTGTGCCTTGAAGGTTCTCCAGCACAGCAGTGATAGCATTGACTGGGAAACCCAAGTAGACAGTTGTGTGTGTGTCATCGCCTACTGAACTCTGATTCTCCTCTGTGATACCCAGTGTTTCCCTAATTTTGTGAAAATTCCTGAGGAATGTCTTCTGTTATATTATCTTTATGAATGCAGTTATATGAGGAAACACAGAATGTAAAAATGTATGTATCCCAGTCATATTATTACATTAATTGGGACTGTGGGGCTCAACAGAGGCAACTAGATCAGAGAATGGCTCTAGAATTTTAAGAAGTAAGCATCAATTGCTGAGGATATTTGTTGCACTTAGGAAACTAAAGTCCTGGATACCTTAGTACAGGTTATGTTTACTTCCAGATTAGATGTTGAAATGCTGGAATTATTTTAACTCTGATATTCTTAGAGCATGTTTAGTTCTGAGTGGGCAGGGACTGTTGTTTCTGCACAGTATGCAGAAAGGTGGCCATATAATTGGTTCTAAAACTTGGGTTGACAAAATGCAATCCCTCTTTGTCCCTCTGTTTCACAAAACAAAAACTTTCAAAATATTTAGTGCTTTGTGCTTTGGTTCTTATAGAATGTGGTGAATTAAGTCTCTGTTCCTACTGGTCAGCAGTAACTAGTGTTGACCTTGAAGAGTCATTCGTCTGGCTTCATTTCCCCTGGGATTGCTATTGTGGTGACTCCTCCTCATCCTCCAGGTCTCAGCTCAAGGGCTGGCTCTGAGGAGGCCACCTGTGACCCCAGTAAGTTTATTCTGCACACCTTTGCCCTTCAAATTCCTACTGGCTTTATAGGGGTTCATGATCAGTGTGTGTGGTTTCCCTGTTTTGTAACATTTATTTGAAATGAGGAGTGGGGATGAAAAAGAGATATTTTCAGATCCTCCATCTGCTGATTCACTCCCCAAAGGCCAGCAAGAGCTGCGGATGGGCCAGGCTGAAGCCAGAAGCCTGGAGCTAGGAATCTTGGTCCTCAAGTACTGGAGCCATCATATATCATCTCTCAGGTGCATTAGCAAAAAAACTGGATCAGAAGTAGAGTGGCCAGGACCAACTAGGCACTCCACTATGGGATATGCACATCCCAAGCAGCTGCTGAACCTGCTGAGCCAAAATACTCACCACTATGTGTGTATTTGAAAAACTGCCTTAAATATATTTTATTTGAAAGGCATCATCCACCGACGTGCATGTACACACACACACAGAGAGAGAGAGAGAGAGAGAGAGAGAGAGAACTCTTATCTGTATTTTCACTGCCAGAATGTCCACAACAGCAGGAGCAGGGCCAGGCCCAGCAGGCCAGAACTCGGAGTTTCCCATGTGATGGCAGGAACCCAAGCACTGCTGCCTCCCAGGGTGCACATTAGCAAGCTGCTGGAATCCACAAGGGAGCTGGGACTGGAACCAAAGCACCCCCCATTAGGTTGGGAGCATCCCCAGACAAATCTTACTTCTGGGCCAAACGACCCCCCCCATATCAATGTTGAATACGCAACAAAAGGATGAATGAATGAATGAATGAATGAGTGGCAAAGGGTTAGGAAGACAGTTAGACACATGGAATTTGCTGTTTTCCAGGGCTTTACAGCATGAGTGAGAAGGGCTTTTTGCCTCTCCTTGTTTCCTGCTTGGGAGCTCACCAGGGAAACTCAACTCTGAGTGCTTCTGCAGCCTTGCTTTTGCTTTGCAGTCTTGTAGAACAAAGCCCTCATGGCCCTTGCTTTACTTGTTTCTTTACCAAAGTGGATTTTGTAAGACTTGTATTTCAGCTTTGCAAAACAGTGTTGCCAGGACTGTTCACCTGGGGAGGCCAAGCATCCTCTTTCAGGAAACTGACATGTTTTGTCTACTATTGCTCTAGAAAGGATAGGGCCGGGCCCCAGGCGGGATCTATGCAGACATCCTGGGGAAGCTCAGGAGGGTTCCAGTCATTGAGCATGGGGGCTGAGCCTGTCAAGGAGCTGGCCTCTCACAGGTGGTGAGCTAAGGGTGCAAGTCCCAGTGGCCCCCAGGTGAGGAGGGAGGGACCAAGGGACTGCAGCTCCTGGCTGTCCGGCCTGTAAGTGCCCATGGTCCTTGGTTGGCCACTTTTTTGGAGACAAGCCCACACGGGAGCGTGTTTGTGAGAGAGCTGCAGCTTGGCTGGGGGGGGTGTGCCCCCATGGGAACCTTTGCATGTGCGGGGCCAGGCTGGGACATGGCTCCTCTACCCCATTCCTGACTCTTTCAATCTTTCTTCAAGCTCCAGGCACATTGCTGTGGCTGCTGGAGAGGATGTGTCCACTGGCCTGAGCTCGGCATGAGGTCCCCCGTAGCACTTGACCCCAGGCCACATGGCAGCTGCAGAGACTCCCACTCCTGGAGTACACAGTGTGGGTGAACATGAGCGGTGAGTGCGTGCTGGGCACGGGGAGGGTCCTGGAGCACCTGGGCAGGTGTGGCTCTGTCAGGCCCAAGCCTCACCTTTCAGGGTTTGCCCTGTTTTCTGCTTGGGCACCAACACCACTGGGCCATCTGGAGTTGGGACTCTGAGGGCAGGAATGTGGCAACTCTTGCCAGTTCCTGCAGTTCCTTCTCTGAGCAAAAAGTAGCAGAGATACAGGCTGAGTGCCCCATGTGTCAGTGCAGCACGCGGGCAGGTGCAACAGGCACCTGGGCTGTGCTGGCTGGCACAGGTGCCTCTCTGCCGCACTTGATCTTGTGGTGGTTATGGTGATTAGGAAAGTGAGTTTTTTTTTGACAGGCAGAGTGGACAGTGAGAGAGAGAGACAGAGACAAAGGTCTTCCTTTTGCCATTGGTTCACCCTCCAATGGCCGCCACGGCCGGCACACTGTGGCCAGTGCACTGCACTGATCCGATGGCAGGAGCCAGGAGCTTTTCCTGGTCTCCCATGGGGTGCAGGGCCCAAGCACTTGGGCCATCCTCCACTGCACTCCCTGGCCACAGCAGAGAGCTGGCCTGGAAGAGGGGCAACAGGGACAGAATCCGGCGTCCCTACCAGGACTAGAACCCGGTGTGCCGGCGCCGCTAGGTGGAGGATTAGCCTAGTGAGCCGCGGCGCTGGCCCGGAAAGTAGGTTCTTTACAGACCCCAGGGAGGTGACATTTCTCATGATGGCATGCCCCTGCGGGAACAGTTGGAACCATGCACAGGAGAAAATAGTGATTGCTAACTAACCAGCCACGGGGTCACGGCTGTGCTGGGTGAGTGAGGAGTCCTCGGCCAACCCACACAGCACCTGGAGGCAGAAGTGCTTTGTTCATCACCATGTTACTTCACTGCTTTCTCTCACTGAGTTACAGCCACTGTTTTCTCTGATTTGACATTTGTCTTTGTGAACCCTCCCACCTCTCCATGATATGGTCGTCTTGGAATTCATTTTGGAAATGAAGGGCAGGTCTACCTCTCTGGGTTCCCCCTTGGTGAATGTCACAGGCAGTCACTTTTTCACAGTGGGGCTTTTGCTCCATACACGTTATTCTCATTTTCACATGCAGAAGTTGGGGCTCAGAGAGGCTGAGTGACTTGCCCCTGGTGACACAGCATGATGCTGCCTGTGTTGCATAATCAGGGAGTGAGTCCTTGTGAGCAGAGAAGTGAGGCTGATGGGGGCAGAATGAGTCCCAAGGCACCAGCAGGAGTGTCCTCATGGGACCTCTCTGAATCTGACCTTATGCAGCTTCCTCTTCTGCCCCATCCATGCTGGCCTCTCAGTTCCATGATGGTGCCAAGTTCTCTTCCACCTCGGGGCACTTACATTGCTTTTCTTTCTTGATTGTTTCTGTCCTTGAACTTCTGCCATGAAACTGAGGAACAGACCACATTTCCCGGTGGTTGAGAGTTTGGTAGCTGGGGGAGATGTTCGTGGAAGGATGAGTTTCAAAGCCTCATGTTCCTCTTCTGTTAAAATGGAATCCTCTCTGAAGATTATCTATTTTATCATCTTAAAAAGGTAAGTTTTGGTTTGCTGATCTAGTATATTTTTTATTTCATTTATTTATGTTCTGATCCATTTTATTTCTCATCTCATGCTTGTTTGGGGTTTTGTTTTTTCTTGTTTATCTAAATTTTTGAGATATATCACTTGATTTTGAATTTTAGGCATTTCTCATTTTAAATATGACTGCTGTATGCTATAAACTTCCCACTTAATGTTTTTGCTTTAATCAACAGTGTTTCACATGTTTTGTTTTACTTTTCATTTATTTCAAGATAGGTTTTATTTGCTTTTTAATTTCTTCAGTGATCACTCATCATTCCGTAGCATCTAGTTAAATTTCCAAATATTTATGAGTGTTCAATTTTTATTCTTATAGTTTATTCCTAGTTACCTGATAGGATTTCAGTCTTTTCAGATTTGCTGAGGATTGATTTGTGGACCCATATATAATATATGCAAAAAAAAGTTGAGTGTGCTGATGAGAAGAATGTAGCTTTTAGGTTAAATGTCCTATAAATTTCTGTCAAGTCATTGACTTGATGTAATATTTTAGCTTTGACACATGTCATTATTTATATTGTATTTGGATGATCTGTCCATTAATGAGAGTGCATTGTTCAACTTACTCCCTATTGTTGTATAGGAATGTCTCTCCCTTTCGGTCTAATGCTATTTTCTGTGTATATCTTGGTGGTCTTGTGTTGGTTGCTTATATATTAATGATTGTTATATCTTCTGCTGAATAAAATTTAATCAATGCAATGTCCTTTTTATCTCTTTTTATAATTTTTGATTTCAAGTTTTTTATTTGTTATCAAGATAGCCAATTCTCCTCGTTTTTATTTTCTGTTTGTGTGGAATATCTTTTTCTAGCCCTCCACTTTCAGTCTATGTGTGTCCTTGTGAAGTGAATTTCTTATAGATATTATATAGTGGGGCCTTTTGTATTTAGTTCAAACTTTTATTCTTGAGATTTTTTCCACTTTTTTAAAAATTTAAGTTATATAAATTTCGTGCATTTCATAAATGAAAATTTAAAGAGATATTATTTTTTCCCAGCCGCACTCTAACCCTTCTTCCTCCACTATCTCTATTCCCTTTCTTATTTGTTTAGTAAGATTTATTTTTAGTTAACTTTAAATGCATAAGATTAAGCATATACTTATTAGAGCTCAGCAAATGGTATGAAATAAATAAAACTGCTCCTCAACAGTTGAGACAAAGGCTGTTCAAACCATAGCATTTCAATGTCATTTTTATTTTTATAGATTACCATTTTTTACTGTTATTATAAATATTTTGCTCAAAACATTTTATCTAAGGTACACAAGCTTCATAAATTTCTTTTTAAAAAAAATTTTTTATTTGAAAGGTAGAGCTATAGACAGTGAGAAAGAGAGAGAGAGAGAGAGAGAGAGACAGAGAGAAAGGTCTTCCTTCCATTGGTTCACTCCCAAAATGGCCGCACTGACAGGTGCTGCGCTGATCCAAAGCCAGGAGCCAGGTGCTCCTTCCTGGTCTCCCATGTGGGTGCTGGAGCCCAAGCACTTGGGCCATCCTCCACTGCCTTCCTGGGCCACAGCATAGAGCTGAACTGGAAGAGGTGCAACCAGGATTAGAACCTGGCGCTCCTATTGGATGCTGGTGTCCCAGGCAGAGGATTAACCAAGTGAGCCACTGTGCTGGCCCCACACTTCATAAATTTCATTAATATAAATTTATGAACATAGTGATTATTTTCTACCCTATCAGTACTCCCACCTTTCTTCCTCCTCCCTCTCCTATTCACATTCTCATTTTTTGTGAAGATCTATTTTCTTTTCTTTTTAAATATTTATTATTTGTCTATATGAAAGGGTTACGCAGAGAGAGAAGGAGAGGTAGAGAGTCTTTCCTCCGCTGGTTCACTCTCCAGTTTGCTGCAACTGCTGGAGCTGTGCCAATCTGGAGCCAGGACCAGGAGCTTCTTCTGGGTCTCTCAACAGGTGCAGGCACCCAAGGACTCAGGTCATCTTCTACAACTTTCCCAGGCCATAGCAGAGAGCTGGATTAGAAGAGGAACAGCCAGGACTTGAACCGGCCCCAGTATGGGATGATGGCACTGCAGGTGGCAGCTTTACCTGATATGCCATGGCACCGGCCCATAAGATCTATTTTCAATTAACTTTATGCACATATGATTACCTCTATAGTAAGTAAAGAGTTCAAGGAATAGTATGAAAAAAGAAAACCTGTTCCTCAGCAGTTGAGATAATGGCTGTTCAAAGTAATCACATCGGAAATTGGCAGTTTAACTTCTGTGGATTACATTATAGATACACTATTAATTATTAACAGAAATTTGCGGAGAACATATTGTATTTGTCCTTTTGAGACTGGCTTATTTTGCTAAGTATAATGTTTTCAGGTTGTAACCACTTTGCTTCAAATGACAGGATTTCTTTTTTTTCTTTAGGACTGTGTAGTATTCTGTGGTGTACATATTGAAAAATTTCATTATCTTTTTTCAGTTAAAGCACATCTGGGTTGATTCCACATCTTAGCCATTGTGAATTCACCTGTAGTAAACATGGGGGTACATATCAGTCTTTCATAGGCTGATTTCATTACCCTTGGGTAAATTCCCCATAATGAGATGGCTGGATCATATTGCAAATCTATTTTCAGGTTTCTGAAGAATGTCCATACCATCTTCCACAGTGGTTGTATCAGTTTACATTCCCACCAACAGTGGATTAGGATACCTTTTTCCACACATCCTCACCAGCAATTAGTTGTTTGTTGATATCTATATGAAAACCATTCTAATGGAGGTGAGGTGAGAACTTAACTGTGGTTTTGGGTGGCATTTCCCTGAGGTTAGTGATCCTGAGCATTTTTGCATGTGTCTGTTGGATTTCCTCTTTGGAAAAATGTCTGTTTTTCTCCTTCACTTATTTCTTAACTAGATTGTTTTGTTGTTGAGTTTCTTGAGCTCTTTATATATCTAGTATTAATCCTTTATCAATTGCATAGCTTGCAAACAATTTCTTCCATTCTGTTGGTTGGCTCTTCACTTTGTTGAGTGTTTTTTACAGTGCAGATTCTTCTCAATTTTATGTAATCCTATTTGTAAATGCTGTCTTTGATTGCCAGTGCTCTGGTGTTTTTTCCAAGAAGTTTTTGCCTATGATAGTGTCTTGCCGGTTTTCCTGAATGTCGGGTAATAAATTGATGGTATTGGGTTGTCGATTTAAATCTTTAATCCATGTTGAGTGGATTTGTGTGTAAGCTGTAAGGTAGAGGTCTTGCTTCATACTTCTGCATGTGGAGATCCAGTTTACCCAGCGCTATTTGTTAAAGAGACTTTCCTTGCTCTGGGCATTATTTTAGCTCCTTTGTCAAAGACAGGTTGGTTGTAGAAGCATGGGTTGATATTTGGAGTTTCTGTTCTGCTCCATTGGTCTATCCATCTGTTTGTGCCAGTACCAGGCTGTACAACTGTCCTATAGTATGCCTTGAAATCAGATATTGTGATGCCTCTGGCTTTGTTTTTGTTGTTAAGATTGCTTTAGCATTTTGGGGTCTCCTGTGTTTCCAAATAAATTTAAGCATCTCTTTTCTAGATCTGTATTCTGATTGATATCACATTGAACCTATTAATTGCTTTTGGTAGTGTGGGCATTTTGATGATAATGATTCTTCCAATCTACCAACATGGACGATTTGTCCATTTTTGTTTCTTTATTTCTTCCTTTATTGTTTTGTAATCCTCATGTTAGATTTAGTTGCTGTCCTTGGTTAAATTTATTCCAAGGTATTTAATTTTTCTGTAGCTGTTGTGAATGGGATTGAGCTTAGAAGTTCTTTCTCAGCCTTGGCATTGTCTGGGTATACAGAGGCTATTAATTTCTGGTTTTTTAAATATTTTGTTACTTTACCAAACTCTCTTATGAGTTCCAGTAGTTTCTTATTGGAGTCTTTTGGATGCACTAAATACAGAATCATGTCATCTGCAAGTAGGGATAATTTGACTTCCTCCTTCCTAATTTTATCCTTTGAATTTATTTTTCTTTTCTGTTGGCTCTGGTAAAACTCGCAGGACTGTATTGATTAGCAATGATGAAAGTGTGCATCCTTGTCTGGTTCTGCATCTTAGTGGGAGTGCATCTAACTTTTCCATACAGTAGGATGCTTGTCCTGGGTTTGTCAAATTGCCTTGATTGTGGTGAGGAATGTTCCTTCTGTAGCCAGTTTGCTTAGAATTTTCATCATGAAACGGTGCTGTATTTTGTTAAATGGTTTCTCTGCACTGAGTGAGATAATCATATAGTTTTTATTCTGCAGTTTGTTAATGTGGTGTATCACATTGTTTGATTTGTGAAAGTTGAACCATCCCTGCATTCGAGGGATAAATCCTTCTTGGTCTGGGTGAAGGATCTTTCTGATCTATTGTTGTTTTTGATTAGGTAGCATTTGCTGAGGATTTTTGTGTGTATATTCAACAGTGAAATTGTTCTGTAATTCTCTTTCTCTGTTGTATGTTTTTCTGATTTAGGAATTGAATCATGCTGGATTCATAGAAGGAGTTTTGGAGGATTCCCACCAATGAATTTGTTTTGAATAGCTTGAGAAGAATTGTGGAGTTAGTTCTCCTTTAAATGTCTGATAGAATTCAGCAGTGAAGTCATCCAGTCCTTGTCTTTTATTTATTGGGAAGGTCTTACTGATTCACTTTCCTTCTTGGTTAATGGTCTGTTTAGGTTTTCTGTTTCATCATGGCTCAATTTAGGTAAGTTGTATGTATCCAGGAATTTATCCATTTCTTCTAGGTCTTCCAATTTGTTGGCATACAGTTTCTTGTCATAATTTCTGATGATTCCTTTTATTTCTATGGTATATGTTGTTTTGCTACCTTTTTCATCTCTAATTTTATTGAATTGGGTATTCTCCCTTTTTGTTTAGTTGGCCTGATGGTATATTATTTTTTTTCCAAAAAAAGCAGCTTTTTTTACTGATCTTTTGTATTGTGT